CGCTCACTGGTTGTCTGACCCCCATTGGTCCCACCCAGGAACAGCCAGTGGCAAAGCATGATGGCAGATGTGGTCCACGACCCATGGGGTGCTATTGCACAAGGTGGAGAAGACTACATAGAATCATAGAATCATAGAGTTGGAAGAGACCACAAGGGCCATCGAGTCCAACCCCCTGTGGAACATAGGTTACGCTGGTGAAATGCACTTTGCACATGTTTAGATGCTTCTCCTCTTCAGTATTAGTGTGCCTATTTCAAGGCAGAGCACAGAAATCAGTCAAGGGCTGAACCCCATAATAGCAGCCACCACAAAAAGGGGAAATTGCTCCAATTCACCCCATTTTTAAAATTAGATTTTTTCCTCTCACCCAAACATTAGAAGACAACAGTGGGGTAACAGAGAGACAAAGCTTTCATTTGATTAGTTTTACCACTAGGGCAGTTTGCTGCCATGTTCAAAAGGGCCTCTCCATTTGAGTCACGCTCAGCTGCATGGGAGGATACAGTTCTTGGATGCTGTTGACATCTCTGATTTTAGGGTAATGGCTCTCCTTCCTCTTCTGAGGTTTCGTGGATCGCTTGTGCAGCACCTGAAAGAAGAGCACGAGCAGTCGAAACCCCAGGGAAGCCAACACCTCCAAACATCACAACACTTTTGGCTTAGCCGGCACCAACAGGGCAGACATGGGCACTGCTATGTGCATCAGTACCTGCTATGGCACCTGTAAATATCAGCAATGAAGAAAAGACTGCTTGCTCCTCCTGCAAGTCCCATTAAACATGCCCACATTTCAATTGGATGACACCCTCCCTTCTGTTCTGAACAGAGAAGAAATGGAAAGAGCATCTCTCTATGAGCAAGCACCTTTCCCCCATGCACCTGGACCTGGCAAATTTCGAACGCTGACCCTGACTTAAGGGACTGGATCCATAGGCTAGCACTGCTACTGGTCATTCCCCCCCCCCGCCCCTGGCCAGCTTAAGGATCCACTGCTTTTGCCACTGCTTCCTAGCAGATCCTGGCTCCCTTCATCCTTCCTGTGCTGTGATGACTCTTCTTCCTAATCAACCATGGGGCAGTGACAGCATGAGATGGTCCAAGCCTTTTGTAGTCTTCCCTGCCTTTCTGCTCTGCACCTCTAACATCAAGGGGAGGGGGTAGCAGTAAGGGGGGTGGGTAGGCGAGCAAAGTGGGCAGGGGCGGCAACCTCTAGCAAAACAGTCATAACATGAAACATTAAAAACAAATTGGCATGAAATGTATCAAAATGTAAGTAAAATCTGCTGTTTTAAAATGAACATACACGGTTAAATTGCATGCAAGATGGCATTCTAAAAGTTTTTAGCCAGTGCCAAAAACAGTACAGCCCAGGAGACTGCCTAACATCAATAGGCAGGGAGTTCCAGAGGGTAGGGGCTGCCGCCTATGCTCCATATAACGTTATGCTCCACTGAATGCACCACAGCGGAACTGCCTTTATAGTGGATCTACCTCAAATAGGCAAATCAAAACATCTATCTCCCGCAATTCCTTCCAAAAGCTCACTTACTTCATGTTCAAAGATGTGCAGGGACTCTGCCGTAAGCTTAATGAATTGCTTTGTTATAGCAAAAGCAATTATTTCATCTGCAATCTCATTTTCTTTCAACCTGTACAATGTGCAAAGTTCCACCACTACAAGAGAGAAAGAGAGAGAGGAGTTATTAAACAGCAGTAGTTTATCAGTTCCTCAAGGACATCCCTCTAACAGACAGCGAGATCCACCTCAGTGAAGTGCAATGAAAAATTTCCACCATTAGATTTTTCTGCAGAAAACTTTCCAGTTTTTGAAATTGTCTCATGTAATCAATGAACAGAATACACACAATCCAGTCCAAAATGGGCAACAGAAACCATACTAGTGAAATCTAAAATCAAAGTTTTAAAATGTATTTATAACTTTTAGCACCTTTGTTGCTTTTCTTAAAATGTAAATAATTGAAGTCTTTTACATTGTATTCCGTTGAAATGTCAAAAAAACAGTTACAAGTATTACAATAAAAATAATTTCCTGGCAAATTTCCTGGATTTGTTTGAATGTAAGATTTAAAGCACATTAACAGTTCAACCCTAATTCCCCTCGTCTGATTCAGGAAGGCAACCCTTCACCATAAGGCCCCAGGGCTGGGTTACAACGATATTAAAGCCAGCCAAAAACAATTTATTAAGGGGCAGCATTTCAAACAGGCAAAGCTCACAGCTACGAGTCACACTGAGCTTCCACATTCAGGGACAGTCTACCTTTGAAGACCAGGTACAGGGAACAACCAACCGTTTCCTTTAGACGGATCTTCTGGCCCGATCCAGGCAAGTCTCATTTTTAAAACTGCCCATCTCTCTGAATCCGCCTCCCTCTTTTCCCCATATCTTCTTTCCCCACTTTCTCTCCACGCTTCTTCCATCCCCCAGAAATCCCCCCAAGTCCACCGCTCTTCCCCACATAGGCAACCGCCTGCTTATCCCAAATTAAGCCCCCTCCAAATAAAAAGCTCCTCAATGAGAACTAGCGCCCTTCCTAGTATATACCCCCCCCCCCAATTTATCGCCTTCGCCGTTCTATACGCGGCTCACATTTGTCGGTAAGGGCAGCCCCGTCTTCACCCTCCTCCAAGTCCAGCCCGAAGAGCCTCAGCTCAGCCAACACGTCCTCAACTACCAGCGCCGCCATCGCAGACCTCCTTTCCCGCCACTTTTCTTGGCGGGGTAGGCGGGGAGCGCGCAGCTATTCGGTTATTTACGGCGCCACTTTCCTCGCCTGCAAGAAGAGGGAAAGAGCAGGAAAGAGCGGGAGGGGGCGGAGCTTCAACTCCTGAATGGGCGCATGCCAGTTCTACACGAATGGGAGGAGGTTTCAGAGGAGCATAGAGATGTGTCGTCGTCGTTGCTGCTGCTGTTGCTTGGAACTCCTAGAGTGGCTAAGAACGCCGGGATACCCTTCGACGCTTTGCTGAGTGAAAAAAGGACGGCTGCTTTATAAAGAAGGGTTCTTTTGCATGGCTTTGATTGGCTTGCGCCGTGTAATTCCTTCCCTCGCCCCGCCCCTTCTGCGCCAGAATAAACAGAGCCCTTGTTCTTTATAAACGCAAGTATTTTTGTTCCCCGCCAAATTAAATAACAGGTCATCATCGGTATCATTCTGATACCTCCCATTACTTTGAGATGGTAAAGCCTTCTCTGTCTTTAATGCTATATTTTGACTTAATCAGTTAATGAATGGTGGCTGATGAGGGACGTTGCCGATTGGGCTGAGGCTGTGAGAGTGGTCCACAACAACCCTGAAATGTAGTACGGTGGGATTATTCTCACATTGGGAACATAATAGTAATAATAATAGTAATAATAATAAATTATTTATACCCCACCCTCCCCGGCCAAGACTGGGCTCAGGGCAGCTAACACTGAATATGAATACAGTAAAAACATTTAAAAAAAACCAAAACAGTTGATTGAAATAAAAATCAGAATACAGCTTAAAATGCAGCCTCGTTTTAGTGGTAGCCCATAGATCAAAGCCATAAGGGGAGAAAATATCAAATATTCACCAGGGCCAACTATCCATGCTGGTCCTACATGGGCCAGCAAAAAGAGCCGAGGGAAAATTTATATACAAAATCCCATATAAGGGGTTCCATCAAAAAAATAAATGAGAGGGGGGGTTAGACTGAGTCCAGTCCAAAGGCCAGGCGTAACAGCTCCATCTTGCAGGCCTTGCAGAAAGATGTCAAATCCCACAGGGCCCTGATCTCCTGTGGTAGGGCGTTCCACCAGGCTGGGGCCAGAGCTGAAAAGGCCCTGGCCCTGGTTGAGGCCAATCTAACCTCCTTGGGACTTGGGACTTCCAAAGTGTTGTTATTTAGGGACCTTAAGGTCCTTCGTGGGACATACCAGGAGAGGCGGTCCTGTAGGTACGAGGGTCCTAGTACCTACAAACTTACCTGCCCGATAGATATGTTTTGGATATGCAGAGGTCTTGATTTATCGGCTTTTGGGTTTTAGGGAGGAAATGCATGGCTTTGTTTCATTTACTTATTTTTTGTTCTTTAGTATTTTTATCATTGCCAATCTTACGTTGTGTCAGTTTGTTTCTTTGAAGTGTATGATATTTTGACAGCAGCAATACATGTTTTCTTTCTCTTTTTAAGTGGTTTTAAAATGTAATAAAGATAAGGATTTGTTTAAAAAAATAAATAGCAGCAGTGGTGCAGTTGGGTAATTAAGAATCTTGTCCTTAATGGACTTCTAGACTGTGGAGAGTGCTATTTAGATGGTAATGTGTATTATTTCATTTGCTTCTGAATGAGGTGAATTGCCCACTCTCCTTTTTGGAGCCCTCCTGCTCAGTCTGTTATGGGGACCGTGGACCTCTTTCCCAAAGTCTGACCTGCATGGCACCACAGGGCTTTATTATTGACACAGTGTTTCTTCTTAAAGTGTTTGGGTACAACAATTCCACTTAAAAAACACATCACACACTTTTTGTTGGTTAGGAAAGTGTTGAGGGAGATGCACTAAAAAGTTTGGGCTAAAGCTGTATAGGCTCCACCCCAAACAAATCAATAAATAATGCGGGTCATATAACCTTTCTGCAGGTTTTTAAATCTAATTTGATGTCTGCGCTTACAAACAAAAAAGTTCTTGAGTCTCACACGGGGGAAGCTCCCAGCTAAAAAACATTTCAATGAACAAGTGAATTCCACAAATTAAGTGGAGTATAAAGAAGTCATTTAATTTTGTATGAACTGAATCTTACACCAGACTTTCCCATCATCATCATTACATTTCTATCCCACCAGCGGGGGTGGTCCCAAGCTTTCACTCAAAAATCTAACTGTGCCCACAGTTCTCAAAGGAAGATGCTTGGTTTTATTGCTACCCTTTTCCAGTTCTTGAGTCACTTTTTCCAGAAATGTGTGGTTTGTCAAGGGCTTCTTTCTCAGAGAGAGAGAGAGAGAGAGAGAGAGTGCTATTGCTGTGCTAAACGGATTCTTTGAAAAGAGATCTCTCTACTTGCTGGAGGCAAATTTCTTCTACTGTTTCCATCGAGGATACAGTTCTAGACCTAAAGGAACACAAACACCAGAATATTGATTAGCGCCATGATAATTTTCATGTTATCGACAGTGTGCTATTAATTAATTCATTAATTAATTATCTGTCCTTCACCACAACAGCAGGTTACTGAAACCACCCTACTGTATAAAGGTGAAATTTGCATCCATTGCTCTGCTCACTTTTTCCTTTGGCCTTGCCAACTGCTGACAGGTGCCCCCCCCAAAAAAAATAGGTTGATCATAGAAGAATGTGGTGCTCAAACTGAAAATGGCCTCCCCCTCCTCCATACATGCTAAATAGCATGAAAATACTATTTGGGTCAGAGTCTCATCCTAATCGTTTTTCAACTCCTATTAGGGATGGGAAAGAAAACTTACCTGCGTTCCATCTCTGCGATGGTTTCCAGGAGGGGTAAATGTCTTGTCTCCATCAGGAAGCAGGCAGAGACCCCCGCAAGGAGGGGAGCAGCTCCAAATATAATTGGTGGCAGGACAGGAAAGGAATCCCTAAGCACGTAGACCAGGGGCGCAACCATGGCTCCGAGACGAGCTTGCATGGACACAAATCCCATGCCTGTTTGCCTGGCAAGAAGAAACGCTGGTGTTTATAAGACTCTAAACACCAGCTGCTTGAACCCTGGGGCCGTTTATCTGGCAGAAATCATCCCTGACCACTGGTTCTGCAGATGATGGGAGTTGTAGTCCAAAAACAGCTGGAGGCCCAAGTTTGGGAAACCCTGGTTTAGATGATACTAGCTGCTCACCTGATCTCTGTCGGGTAGAGCTCCCCAGAATACAGATATGCACCAATAAAGGAACTGGCGAGGCACCCTTTCCCTAGTGCTGCCTGCACTGTCCGCAATGTTTGCAGTTCTGCAGGAAGGAGAAATATATAGAATGAACGAAACCTTGTTGTTTACAGCCATAGGCCGTCACAATATAAATACAACAAACTGTCTTTTTGACCTATCAAACAGGCAGTCACACACACACACACACACCTCATGTACTCACTCAAAAGAAAACAGAAAAATAATACTCCCCCCCCCCAGTGTAAATCACATATTGCTCCTTTACAACAAACTATAAAGCTATTAAAATTCATTGGGCTAGTCCTATTCAGAGCAGACCCACTAAAGTTAGTGAACCTGACTACCTTAGCGGCATTCATTTCAGTAGGTCTGCTCTGGGTAAAACTAGCACTGGAAGCACACACAACCACCTCCCTTTGCCTGGCTGGGATGTGACCTTGGGCTCTAATAATGCTTCTTATTTTCCTGGATGGAGAGAGAGGTGTGTGGTTGAAGAAGCTAGCAAACCTACTGTACAAGGGCAAATTTCTCAGTGACTGCTCCAACCACTTTGGGCTCTGGCCCTGTCCATCACTAGTATATAGCTCCACAAGAGGATGCTCAGAAGAGACTGTGTTCCTACGTCTGAAAATGTTTCTGTACCCCTGAGCTAGATGGACCAATGGCCTGGGCTCAGTCTGAGGAATCTTCCTATCTTACTACAGTATATGCTGCCTTTCCTCCAAGGAACTCAATTAAAGCCCCCCACCCCCACCCATTTTAACTTCACAATAACCATGTGGGGTAGGTTAGATTGAGGGTGTGTAGCCTGAGGTCACACAGTAAGCGAGAGCGGTGGTCTAGGACTGAATAGAGTTTGGTTCCCCCTTGAGCCGCGGTGCACTCTGGGAGTCTGTGGGCATATTTGCCACCCTGAGAGACTACTCTGGGCACCACAAGCACACCCACACACCCACAAACAAGCAGACACTGCAACCTGTTTTATAGGCTACCATGGAAGGGTCTTTCAAGCCTAATTTCAGCAGGGGGCAGGGACCCTATGGGACCAAGGAAGAGCTCTACAGGTGCATGTGTGCCTAATGAACTGGGTTGGCGGCCCCTGCTCAAGCCGCAACACTGCATGGCTGATACCAAGGGTGACAGCAGTACAGCTCACAGGTTGATAGGATGGACTGAGCACAATATTCATGCGAAAACAGATTAGACAAATTCCTGGAGGCTATCGGTGGCTTCTAGCCATAGCTGTGTTTTACCTCCAGCGTTGGAGGCTGTGTGCATCAGAATGTCACTCACTGTGGATCACATGTAGAAGAGAAGAAGAGCTTGGATTTGATATCCCGCTTTTTCACTACCCTAAGGAGTCTCAAAGCGGCTAACAATCTCCTTTCCCTTCCTCTCCCACAACACACACTCTGTGAGGTGAGTGAGGCTGAGAGACTTCAGAGAAGTGTGACTAGTCCAAGGTCACCCAGCAGTTGCATGTGGAGGAGCGGGGAATTTAACCTTGGTTCACCAGATTACGAGTCTACCACTCTTAACCACTACACCACACTGGCTCTCGGTGAGGTTTTGCTACTTTGGGGCTTCCCTTAGGCATCTGGTTGGCTACTGTGAGAACAGGAGGTTGGCTTTGATAAGCCACTGGCCTGACCCAGCAGCCAGACTCTTTCTGATGTTTTGATGAGAACTCATAGCATGGAACATCAGTGACCCAAGCAGATGCAGGTCAAAAACCCATAAAGCAACTTGCCGTCTGGCACAAACATGTTGACAAACACCAGGAGCCCAGCGAGGGATAGGAAGCCGGCCATGGTAAGGCGGCGCCCGATGAAGACCATGGCAAGGGTGGACAGCAGCACAACGGGAAGGTCGATTGCCCCAAACAACACCTGCACCACAAAGATGTTCAGGCCAAATTTTTGCACGTCCATCGCCAAGCCGTAATAAGAAAAGGAACTGGAAAACCTAGGAAGAGTGGGAAGCAAGCATGAGTTGCAAATTTAAAGGCTGGATTTCTGCAATGATGGATAATAACTAATAATTATTATTAATAATTATATTTTTATTATTTATATCCCAACCATCTGACTGGGTGTCGGCAATGCATATTATGCACAAACTATTATTATTACTACTGCTACTAATGAGTGATCATTGCTGCTGCTGCTGCTGCTGCTGCTGCTGCTGCTGCTGCTGCTGCTGCTGCTGCTGCTACAACTCAGCACTTACAAAGCACCTAAGCTGTTCTAAATGCGGCCCTTTAAAAAACAGCAGCTCCACAGCCTCTGCCTGCTTATTACAATGTAATAGGCACAATACAAAATTACTATGATTAGTAGTATTTAACGCATAAACCACCTCATATGTTCTTGAGTTGCCATCATACTTCCGTGTTCTGAGAAGAGGCTCAAAGCATAAGAGGAAAGAAAGGACAATCCTTGACTTGTCTCCCCTATTCAATTACCGTTTCCCTCTTCAGATAAAAACAACAGAGGTCTTCTTTCACTCAACCAAACAACCATGAGGCAGCAGGTGACCCTCCGCAAGACTGGACTGCGAAACAGGTCGAAGACAGTGCGCCGGGATTTCAGACTTGCAGCTTCCATCTGCATGTGGGAATGCAATACCTGTGCAAGAGAAGGGGAAATGAGTGGAAGGAATGTGGCAGGCTTGGGGAGGGGCCTTAATCCAGAAGAAAGAGTGCAGATTGAGGTTTGGTGGTCTCAAGTTGAACCCCAGCATACCTGTCACCTTCTGTCCTAGCCTAATACTACTACAATAATAGCAACCACAACACCCTGCCCATCTGGCTGGGTTTTCCCAGCCACTCTGGGCAGCTTCCAGCAAAATATAAAAACATAATGAAATGTCAAACATTAAGAACGTCCCTCTAAGCCAGTGTTTCCCAAACTTTTTTGGGCAACGGCACACCTGTTTACTGAAAAAAAATCTCACGGCACACCACCATTAAAGCCCCGCCCCGTGACGTCAGCGCGCAGCGTCACGCCGGGAGGGACGCACGAAAGTGAAAGTTTTTTTCCCTCCCCCTTGCCGGGGAACCTCCAAGCTTTGGGGGTGGGAGGAGGCAGCAGAGCGAGGGACTGAGGGACGGCGGCAACTGAGGCGGCGGCGGCTGTTGTGGTGGTGGCGGCGATAGCGGGCGGAGGAGGGGGCGGCGGCGGGGCTTGAGGAGCCGTCGCCGGAAGTTGCTGCTGCTGTTGTTGCTGCTGCTGCCCGGACATGCCGGCCTCCTCCTCCTCCGCTGTCTCGCGCTCCTCCCTTTTGCACGCGCTGCCCCGCCGCTCGGCACCACCACCGCGGAGCCGCCCCCGGCTCGACGCGGATCCTCGCCGCCGCCGCCTCTCACCGCCCGCCTCGCCCGCCTCCCTCCCACGGCACACCAGCCAATGTCTGACGGCACAGTAGTGTGCCGCGGAACACCGGTTGGGAAACACTGCTCTAAGCAATGCCAGGCCTCCATTTTAATTTCCCAGAATGCTCTGGCTTGTGACCCTCTGTGGCACTGTGGGGGGAAATAGCTAAACCCAGCTGTCTAGAGCCTCTACTGCTCCCTCTTGTCCAGGGGGCGTTGCTAAGGGTCGGTCTATGAGAAGTGAGCCTCAGTTTGCTACACTGGCAGCTGCCACTTTACATCAAATTACACTGATTATATAAAACGCCTGAGTCACCCTTCAGGGAAAGCCCTCTGAAAAAGATACGTTTTCAACATCTGCCTAAAAGCAAAAATACCAGGTGCCTGTTGCTGGGACCTTCCCCTGAGATGGACCCCTGCAACTCTCCGATCTGCCCCCACTCATTTGACCAGCCTCTCCACAAAGTCTTCATGGGACTTGTGGCACCTAGGGCTTTAAATACTAAAAGCAAAACTATTATTACATTATTATTTGCTAATCTCCTATTATAGAAATTATTATTATTATTATTATTATTATTATTATTATTATTACAAAAAAACCAAAGCATTGGTCGATCTCATGGCTAACCTCTTTGTTAATTTTCTCTCCCTCCTTGCTTTTGCCGTTTATTGCTGCAACTTTCCTCAGATTCTGGACTGCTACCTGTGCCTTGTTATGAAGCAGGAGCCAGCGTGGTGATTCTGGAAGTTTCCTGACAAGACAGAGATAGATAGATATTATTAACAAGGGGGATGATTAAAAGAAAAAGAAAAAAGTTTGTGTAATGGAGTGTTGTTCACATTTCTAGCCACTCCGTTCCATCCTTTTCCCAGGTGGAACATCTATTTCCCCTCTTCCAAAATGCACTCTGCATTCCATGGCCTCACTGGCCTGTTTGGTAATTCTCCCCCTGCTTCCCAGCACACATACATACACACTGTATTCTTTGTTTTGTTTTTCTGCTGTCATAAGAGAATCAGGGCCAGAGAGGGGAATAAAGGAAAAATGATCCTAATGATATCATCCTACCCCAAAGTCCCACAACAATCATAAACTGTGCCTTAAAGAACGCATTGTTGGGAATATGCCATCTTACTGTGTCTTTTCACGTATCATTGAATGTACAGTAATATAATGTGTGCCTTTTTAATGCATCATCTTAACGTAACGTGCCTGTTGCCATTCCTGTGTACCTCTTTCTCCTTGAAGCTATCCTTTTAAAATGTATTCGTGGGTGTATCTTTAATGAAATGCCGTACTATGCTGTACTTTTCTGAATGTATCCAAAATGTAGTTTTTGAAATATTTAGATTGTTACATTCTTTAAAATGTACATACTTGACTCAATATTGTATCCAAAAGGCTGCCAAAACTCAATCCACCACACTGCCTCCTACTGGGTCTGCAAACCATACCATGAATACACACAGATATGAGCTCAAAATAAAGCAGTCTTATTTTCCAAAAAGTATGCAAACATCAGGCTATCACACCCGAATTGATAGCAATGCAGAATAGGATTTCACATTAACATTTAAGCCATTTCCTGAACATCTTCTCAAGCATCCACCCTCACATCTGCATGCTGATTATCAGCAGTTGCGGAGGTTTTCCTGTAGATAAAGGAAAAGCCATTTTACTGCCAACCAAGTCTGTTGACACATCCTCCTAGGTGTGGATGGTGCCATTTTGTCTACATAAGGCACAGCACACACTGCCTGAACATCAGACATGGCAGCCATAGGGTCTTGGCCTAACACAAAATGGCTGCCACATCTACAAGAGCGGAAAAGAGAGACACACTGAAGCCATACCACAGTCGTATTTCGCGCTATCACCCCCTACCATGAACAGACAAAAATGATGAAAAATGGTGCTGAGACGGAGAGTTGGAGCCAGCGCCAGTTTCTGACTCCGTATGCAACTCCTGCCAAGACGATCTGCCCAAAGGTGACAAAATAACCTAAGAGGGCACCTGCCACTGTCCGGCCCTTGTTGGGCATCCACTCCAGAACTAGGAGAGAAGCAAGAGAAACTGTTAAAAGGACTTGCAGTAAAAACCAGGATGAACAATTTTTTAAATGGGCAACACATCACATGCAACCGTTTGGCTTCCATGCAGAAAACCCCAGGCACCATAGACTGACTGCTGATATAAAGCTGAAAGGACATTCATCTTTATAGTGCCTTGTCTGAGGCTTATCCACACTTCTCTACTCATTCCAAGCATAGGCCTAGTGGGGTAGCAAGGGTCAGGTGGTACCCAGTGTGGAAAATTTATTGTCAAACCCCCCACACACACACACATTGAAATCTAGTTGGTCTCCCCAGAAGACTGCGATCTACTCACAGTATAAAAAGACTGCCTGTGATCTACCCATTGTCACTGCCAAGAGTTGTTGAGCTTTCCCTGCAAAATCCACTCTTTAAAGTTGAATTGGAGCAAACCAAACTACTTACTCAAGGACAGAGAATTTAGCATGATTCCTGAAAATGTCATGCCAGCCAGGAAACGGAAGGCGCAGTAGCTGCTGAAGCTGGGCATGAATGCTGTGATGGTGCCAGCGATGGCGATTTTGCAGATATGACCAGATCAGAGGTTTGCGCCGGCCAAACCTGAGTCCCCACCCCCAAAAAAGGAGAAGTAGGATGCATGAATTAATATATTGGCTGGTGGCGAGTTATGGGGACAGGCTCTAGCTGGGTCTTAGTTTCCTTGGGCCTCCAGCTGTTTTTTGGACTACAATCCCCATCCCCTCATCCGGAGACTTCAGGTCAAACCTGGAGGTCTGGCAACCCAACTCACCTAACACTCATCACAACAACCACCCACCTGTCCGATAAGACTCCAAACACACCAGCCCCAACCAGCACACCAGCCATGTAGAGTGACTGGGCTACATCTCTCAGGTTCTGTAGGTCACACACCAAATTCCACTGGAAGGGAGAGAGGGGAGAACTGTGTCAATTTTCTCTCTGTGGCTGCAATACACACACACACACACACACACACACATTTGACTTAGCATCATGTGAGTCTTATTCCTTTAATCTTCCTTCTGCAAAGGAATAATCAATGCTAGCTGCATAAAATCTGTATTTTTAAAGATTCATATCTTTTAATATTAAAAACTCAAAAGCACAAGGCTACATGCATGCCATCTTGGTACCTATTCATTCCACAATACAGTATAACAAACTCCATTTTAAAATAAATCAGTTATCTTCCTGTTGACCCTTCTCAACAGCCATGTGTTAATTTCACCATCCAAACCACATCCCAAGCTATCAGTTGCAAAACAGAAATGTGTAGGTTAGAATAATGGAGCAGGATCTGGGAGACCAGGGTTCAAATCCTGACTCCATCCAATATCACTCAGCATAATCTACCCCACAGGATTATTGTGGGAATTAAACAGAGCAGAGAATTCTGGACCAGTTGCCATCTCTCAGCCTAACCTACCTCACAGGGTTGTTGTGAAGATAAAACGGGACCCCATTGCCTTGAGCCCCTTTGAGGAAAAGCAGAATGCAAACATAACAAACGCATTAGAAACAAGAGGCCCTTTTCAGATCTTATTGTAAAATGGCAGGGTTTACCGTAAATAGCCAAAAGGTACTACTGCAGGGTCTAATACTAATTCTTCCCCAGTTAGACATGATCTTAATATGATAAATACTGTATATTCTCTTTTAAAAATTAAATCTAAGCCAAACAACCCCAAACGAGTTACTTCATTTGTTATTGGAATGTTTAATTTATATCCCTGCCACTCTGTGTTTTAAAACTGCCTTGCCATCTTTCATTTCCTGTTGATGATGAAGAAAGCTCACCTCCGTCACAATGGTAGACTCGAACACACTCACATCATAGACCCATCCACCTGTGCAGAGTTCGGTGTGCACCTGTGTGGCAGAGTCCCCAACCTCCACAGTCGCATTTGGGCTCAATAGGTGCCACCAACTCATGGCAAACTGGAGACACTTTTCCGGCTTCCGATTCTGGCCTATGGGGACAGGTGCCTTTAGCAAGACTCCTTCTGCTGTGCTTTGGGTGTAGCTAGAGGGCAAGGTCTGGTTGGTGGGCAGCAAGGGCTTGCAGTGGTGGTCTGGAACGGCAGCAGTGAAGTTCTGCAGGAAGTTGTGGCAACCAATGAGACAGACGGAGATCAGCAAGAAGGTGATTTGCGAGATCTGGAAGCGGCCAACTCCTCCGATAGACTCCAAGACATCATTGAATGCCATAACAAAAGTTGAGGATCACTGTGCAATTGGATAGAACAGGTGAGGTTATCTACTTTTCTGGATTTCTCTCCACGTAGGCCAACTTATGGGAAAGCCCTTTGGAATCGAAGCTTACCCAAGACAAGCAGTTAGCTGTTTTGAACTTTCCAAGCAGCTTTGAACGCTAAAGCCTTGTACAGTAATTGAATCTGAAACGAAACAATAATCTCAATATTTAAAAAACACAACATATTATTTCCCCCCCAAATCTAAGTCAGAAATCTAAACGCTGAATAACCCAACAACTCCCATTTGTTTTTGCAGACAGAGGAAAACAACCTGCCACTTCTAGTGGGCATTTTAGTCTCCCCTCCAATTACTATTTCCAGATATGCCTGCACCAAGCTTGTGTTAAGGTCCAATAAGATCCTGTCTTTATCGAATTTTTGTTCTGATTTGATTGCAGGGAGGTTCTGTTTGTGCAGAAGTTATATGTCTTTCTCTGAATTTCCCATCAGTTTCCTAACTACCCCCAAATTGTTGTTTATTAAAAAAGTTTATCCACTTTAATTGCATAAACTAAGGGCTCATTCACACTTTTGCTTGCCCTGTATTTTGATGGGATTTTATACCAATAAATTCCCCAGGTGTATGAGAGCTCCTCTTGTTGTTCCATGGCTGTGCCTTTGGAAAATCTGATCTTACCCACTGAATCAGAAGCTTGCTAAGCAAAATCTCTCTTTGGATTTTCCGTACATCTGATAAGATCCGATTCAGCAAGTAAGAGTGGATTTTTGCCGCAGAACAAGGAGAAAAGCTTTCAGATCCAGGGGAATTAATCAGTGCACAATATGATCAAAAATTCCCTTCTGGGCAGGTAAAAGCAGTGCTGGTATAGGGGGCAACTGGGGGGGGGAGAGACTTACCAGGCACAGAACAGGTTCCAAATCTCTGCATGGGCAAAGATGAGACAGGCTTTCTGGATTGCAGGAATCCTTTAATTCATCCCTGTGATGCCCTAACATGTAACAGATTTTGAGGGAGCTTGAAGAAATTGCAGCATCCCAAATTGCAAAAGAGGCCTGAATCTGTTTATTGAGTCTTGACTGACTATATACGCATCTACACACACACACGCACACACGTCTACACAAACAAACATCCACACAGCTACTCTTTAATTTCTCCTGGGCCTCTGCTCTTCACAGGCTCCTAAAAAGAGCAAGGGATTATGTAAGGTGCAGGTGTTTGGCTACCGTGGGAAAGCTTTATTTCCATGGTTGTTATTGGAAAAGAAACCACTAATTAAAAATACAATTACTTGGTGTTTTGGCTGACAATAAGAATCGATTACAATCAAAGGGCCAATGCAGTGTATGCAAGGGAAAGCACCCATGGGGGCAGAAACATATTAATTACACAGATTCTTCTACATCCCCTCCAACATTTCTCTGATGAAAATAGGGACATCCCATTCCATTATGATAATTTTACTATTCATACCCCACACATCTTACGGGGTCACTCCAGCACTCTGGTCAGCTTCCAACATATAGAAAAACATAACTGAACATTGAACATTAAAAAAAAAACTTCCCTATACAGGATTGCCTTCAGGCGACTAAGGGGGTTGGATAACTCCATACCCTCCAATATTTCTTCAGTGAAAATAAGGGCATCCTAAGGAAAAGCAGGACATTCTGGGATCAAATCAGAAATGTCCCGCTTTTCCTTAGGACGTCCCTATTTTCATTGGAGAAATGTTGGAGGATATGTAACTATACAACCTTTAGAAACATCTGAAGGTGGCCCTGTACAAGGAAGTTTTTTTTAAAGTAGTTAAAATGTTTTATTATGTTTTTATATATGTTGGAAGCCACCCAGAATGGCTGGGGCAACCCAGTCAGATGGACGAGGTATAAATAATAAACTTTATGTTTATTAAATAACATGTCCCTATTTTTATTAGAGAAATGTTGGAGGGTATGCTCATGGGCAGTGCTTTCTTTCTAGAAAAATAGGTGCTGATACTCAGTATGAAGTTGTTGGAAGTAACTGCCACACTTTTTAACAACAGAAAAGAGGTGCCCCTGAGGACCTCCTGAAAAAAAGCACAGCTCATGGGTGAGGCTGGTCGGCAAACTGATTCAAATCTCTCCCCCATTCCTGGCCAGGCTAAAGGGAAAGTGCTCTTTCTGTTGATTTCGCCAGGACTGCACTCAGAGGACTGCACACAAGAGCAACCTGAGCCTTTCTAGTTGTGAAGATTCACTTCCGCCTCTGGTGCCTCTCGCAAGATGGCGTCTTGAGTGCCCTCGGTGGCGGCGCCCGCTGCAGCTTCAAGATGGCGTATTTCCGCCCGACCTTATCCCGCAGCGCCTTTCTCAAGAGGGCAGCGCTCCCGGAGGAGCAGCTGCAAGAGGGCGCCGTCGCGGAGCTCCAGTTCCTTAGGTACCGTAGAGAGCATGTGCAGAGGGCGCCACACACACAACAGGGGAATCTCCTAAGCAGCACAGTCCAAACCGGCCACCCTCTCCCTCTCCCAGAGTCTCTCTTTTGGAAGGGCTGCTTGGAGCCTCCATGGCTCAGCGCAGTCTGCCTGCAGGCGATGGCAGGACTTCAGGAGCGGGCGGACGCTGCGCTCTAAGTCTCCAGCTCCATATGAGCATGCTGCATCTGCCCAGAGGCAGCCCCCATGTGCTGCAGCAGTCTACCCCACCACCTCCACTGAGTGAGACAGGGAAGTGGGATATTTTTATTTTTAAGGCAGAATCGGCGTCTGTTTCTTATTACACCTCGAGCGCCCCTGCTCGGGAGATCTCAGTGGGTGCCCTCGGGGACGCCGTAAAGCCCCGAATGGGAAGAGAGGACTCGAGGAGGGCTCGGGTGAGAAAACTGTTCCCGGAGAATGAGGTGGGAAGAGGGATGGGAGACACCGACGTCCTTCTTCACCGCCTCTACCCTATTCTTGGAGGGCAGGGGAAGAACCAGGTGAGGAACAGCTCGTTTACTGAGAGGTAGTGTTATGGATGTGGAGGCTCCACTACGCTTGTGTAGCTTATGCCTGTGGACAAAGTTTGCTGTGCTTAGGGATATGAGAGGCATCCTCTGGCTTCTAGCATCCGTGAAGGCTTGCTGGTCCTCTGAATAAACAATAAAACATGACATTATGCTCAGAAGTCATATATTTCTCTCTCTCTCTCTCTCTCTCTCTAGTATATTAATTAAAAACCCAGCCTTTAAATGATTTTGATTTAGTTTTAATATGCTTGTGTTGATAAATTTATTTACATTAACATTAACGTCAGATTTCCTTTCCAAACAATTATGTATATTTACGAGAAGCATAGCAGAAAAGAAACACACGCTCCACATCTACATGCTGCCAATTGTTTTCGTCACATAGTTTGCCGGTTCTGTGCACATCTGAGGGATGAAAATAAAAGAAAAATACTCCACCAGGATTTCCACTATAGAAAATTAAAATTAAGCTGTCACTGTGCTTCCTCACTGGTTGTAAAATTGCCCTATTTTCTACAGTGTTCAAGCATTCTTTGTATTTTAGTTTAAATCCTGTTATTCCGAATTGTACCTTCCCCAATATGGCATTATTTTGAGCCATCCTTCTTTTGATCAAGGAGGTGGGAGAATGTTGAAGATGAGTGGTAAACCCATATGACCTGTTTAGAATTCTAGTTGCTTATACATTTTCTAGTTCATAGTCTTCAAAAGCTAACAACCACCCAACGAAAACCCACAAGAACAGTGCTGGCCTGATACAATGCTTACAGGTAAAAGCCTGGTTAGAAAATTAGATCATTCTTTGCCATACTAAGCCCTTACAGCAGAGCTTTCTAAACTGTGTGTAGCGACACATTAGCATTTTGGCTGCAGTATGTAGATGTGTCATGTGAATACGTTCATTTAACCTTCAGTTTGCTAGTACAGTGGTACCTCCGTTACAAACACTTTGGGTTACAAACTCCGCTAACCCGGAAGTAGTACCTCGGGTTGAGAACTTTGCCCCAGGATGAGAATGGAAATTTCACGCCGGTGGCGTGGCGGCAGTGGGAAGCCCCATGAGGTTAAGAACGGTGTCAGATTAAAAACAGACCTCTGGAATGAATTAAGTTCATTACCTGAGGTACCATTGTGAAGCTGAATTACTGTGTCGCGAAATGATGCATGTCTAAAAAGAGTGTCACCAACATGAAAAGTTTGGAAAGTTCTGCCTCATGGGAATTAATTTTAAACAACAACAACACACACTTCTGAATGCAAATAGTGAATTGTCCTTTAGGTGACTGCTTCTCATGTGTCTGACGTACTTCACGCTGTAAATAAGTTGCGCCCCATTTGTTACGAAAGAAGAAGCACATCATCAGATTTCCTCTTCACTAAAATAAACTTTCCAAACTACAAGACAGAGATTTAATATAACCTAGCTGCTGCTGCTCCTTTTTAAAGCAAAACGGGGATTGAATTACAACCAAAAGTCACACCTGGAGGAGAGGTGGGAAAGGAGCTGGTCAAGGTTCCCATGGGGTCCAGGGGCTTAGCTCAGGACCTGGTTCAGGCCCTGATTCATAGGAAGATAAGCCTAAAGGAGAAAGTTCATCTGAGTCACGTGCAGAGTGCTTTTTCTTCACCACTGAGTAAGGGAAAACAGTCCCATGGATTGCAGGGGGTGGGAAGTATGGCATGGCTAAGGGAGCGGCTTCCTTTCGTCCCACCTCAGAGGGATGTAGAATCTTGTGCAGCATCGCTGCCCTCTGGCCCCACCACTGCCCCCTTGGTGCCCAGGGGGCATGGATAGCTCTTTCCCTCCTCAGGACTCGGGAACTCTTGGTAGTAACGGATCCTGTGTTGCTGCTGCTGCTGCTGGTGGTGGTAGTGAGGGAGGCCCCGGCCTGCTCCGTTCCCCTCTGTGGCACCAGCTAAGCGGAAGCCTTCCAACCTGGCCGCCTTGGGTGGTTCATTCCCCCGGCGGCTCTTCTGCAGCAAGCCGTCAAGCATTTTTTGGGCCGACTGGTAATCCAGGTGGGGTCCTCCTGATGTCTTCTCCACCAGGCCAGGGCTCCAGGAGACCTCGCCATCCTCAGAGCTCTCAGAGCTGCTCATTTCTGGCACCATCTCCTCAAGCTTCCCACTGGGCGGCAGGTTAGTGGGGGACGGCAGGTGGGCTGCTTCAAAGACCTCTGGCTGCAGTGTGGGCAAGGCTGGGAAATGGCTGCTGGGCCCTGGCGGGGCCACCAGGGCCTCCTGCCTCAAGTATAGGAAGCGTGGGGCTGGGAGAGGGCAAAGCGGGGCTGCTTCCTCCTCCCCGCTGCACTCGCTTTCTGTCGAATTCGTGTCTTGCGTTGAGAACGTGGTGGACTTCTGCTTCCAGGGGATGAAGGCTGTGGCCCGGCTGTGGCTCTTGCTGTGTCTCTTTGGCCCTTCTGGGGACGCCGCCACCAGGGCCGCTTCGTACTTCAGCAGGAGGCTCCTCTCCTCGCTAGGCCCGGCTGCTGTGTCCGATTCGGAGCTGCAGCCCAGCTTGCTGGTTTCGGTGGCCGAGTCGGACTGGTTGGAGGTGGTTTGTGTCTCAGAGGCGCCATCCATGAAAGCAGGAGGGGGCGCGACATCCAGAATGTGCAGAGAGCAGAGGCTGTCGGAGGGAGACTCGTCCTTCCCACTGCGCCGCTGCTTTTCCAGGCTGGGCTTTGCCAGCAGCCCTGAGATCTGTGAGTGGAGAGACAGCAAAGACCATTCGGACCATTTAGGTAATGGCCTTCCCTCCCCAAAAAAACCCCAGCAGGTCCTGTATTTGATGTATGAGGATATGCTATAAATATGTTTGGCACTGTAAAGTGGAACAGATTCAGAGGAGAGCAGTTTATGCACATTCAAGAGGTGTGCAACCCTGTATAAACACATCACGCTGAATCCTGAAGTCACTGAAATATCACTAAAAGGGTGGGACGGGGATGGAGTGGATTGTTTGCGGGGGTTTTCAATGGGTTTCAATTATATGCGATTTCACAGACGTGTGAGGTGCCTGGATAAACGGGGAGCTGCCTGTATGGAAAATGAGGAAAAGTTGAAGGAACTGGATAAGAGAAGGGGTAACAATAGCAATGGCAAATATTGGAAGGGCTCTTGCCAGCAGCACCATCACACACAGCAGTGAGAAAAGGCTGCTTCTCTTCTCTGCTGCCCCAAAGAAAGGGCAGGACTAGATCTAAGGGGGTTTCAAGAGAGGAGCAAGAGGGCAGTAGGAGAAACCTCTTGATGGATAAGTGAGATCAACCTAAGCTGGGGGGGGGTGCTGGGTTCTCCTCCTTTAGAGGTCTTGAAGTGGAATTTCAAGAGCCTTTTGTTGGGAATGGTCTCGCACTCTGAATTTCCCCCGCTAGAGTAGTGGGGCAGAGGAAATTGGACCTCCCATGATTCAAGTCCTCCTCCATTATTCTGTTGTTATACCTTTCTCTCCTAACCCTCCCCCCCCCAACAAAAGTACGTTGATCAAAGTACTCACGTTAATTTTCTCCAAGGTGCAAATCGTGTTTTGGGCACTGATCAGCCTCTCCAGCAACTCATTGATCCGCTGGTTCAAAGTTTGCTTTTCTTCAGCCATGCTCTGAGCCTGTTGTGAGGAAAGCATGGGGCGGGGAGGCAAGTCAGCAAAGGAGGCCAGAAAGAGAGAGAGAGAGAGAGAGCAGCAAGACATAATAATACAAATAGAATACACTCTAATTGGTGCTGCAAAGTGTAACTTAATTAAATAAGTAATTTAAGTACCGGTATGTTTCTTGCAACAAGCCTGGGAGCCTGTTACTGTAAGGGAGACAGGGATGCAGAGGGAATAACATGTAATAATAAAAAAGCAAAAACAGCTATGTATTTAAACATCTTGGGGTGGATTCATCTAGAATAGACCCACAAAGATAAATGGGCCTAAGTGAGTCTTGCTGTGCATCTTTTTCAGTGGGTCTCAGTGTTGTCTTCTCATTTTACAACCTTATTCATAGGGCAATGGGTTGTGCTCTGAACTTAATGGTTCCAGAATAAGACGAAAAAAGCTCCTCTTTTCAAATATATAATTATATTCCTTCTCTTCTTCAAACAATATCCATTAGTGTTACCATATAACTCGTCTCCCATACTTTTAGGAGCTGCTACTCTAAAGAGGCAGGGTGGTGAGAATCTTTTTCTCACTAACAGCTGGACGTGTGGCTGCTAAAAAAGGAACCATCATCTTGAGAACTTCATGCATGTTTTGACATAGCACAGCGGTACAGTTCCCAGTGGCGATGTATTTTTGCTTTTTGCCAGTATGTGTAATATAATGGCGAGAGCCAAATTTATTCATTCGTTTTTTTTACGTTTCCCTTACAATAATCTGAAGTCTGTCTTCCAGCAGCTGGTTAGTGAGCCGTGTGTTGGAATAGTCTTCCTGAAGCCTGAAAGGAAGGAAATACAGTCACGACAGCAAAAACTCTGAGCCAAAGTCCCTGCACAAAATTACTCTATATATTAATATATCTATCGGTTGCATGAATCCAATTGAAGCATCTTTTGCTCCTCCCCCAAAGGGCGGGGCTTTGAGAGCAAACTCCTCCCCGCCACATGCAGGTTGGCCTGAAAAAAGCTCTTTCACAAATCCTGAATACAGGATGAGCCCTGACCGCTGTGCTTTTGACGCGTCACCTGCTAAATTTTTCTTTTAGAGCGTCCAGTTCGTCCCAGGTTTTCTGCAGGTCTCGCTGAGCCGTTCTGGGTTTGGCATCTGCTTCCTCCTCCTGCGCTGGGGATGCTGGCTCCTGCTCCTGTGAGGGCCTGTAATGACAATAGGGAGTGTGTATATGAGATGGAGAAGCAATTCTAGCGAACAGCAGCAGAGGATCAAAATCTCTGCAGGTGGTAGGCGGTTTGATACCTGTAGCTGCAGTGTCTTAAGCAAGCAGTGGCAGCAGCAGCAGCAAGAGAGGGTGCAGGAGTCAGGGCAACTGGAAAGCAGGTAAAACTTTTACCACTGGCTCCCTGCTTTGCTACTGCTGCCCCATGAAGGGAGGGGATAGGTGCTGGAAGATGATCCCTGAAGGAAGACCCTGGATCAACCAACTGCTGGTTTGCATACTCACACAGGTTGTTCTGCCTCTGCCAGCAGCTCCTGGAGATTAAAAAAAGGAGAAGATTCATCTCCATGCTCTTATTTTTAATTATTCTTTAAAGCGAAGGTACTAGCACTTAAGATTGTGACAACAGGTTTAAACACACACACCTACCAGATGAGTCAGTGTCCCCAACTCCAGAAACATTTCCCCATGCATTAGGGGAGAAATAGGATTGCATCTTCCCAATCTGGGACCCATGAGCCAACGTGATAGAGTGGTTATCCAATGCAGCTAGATGTGGAATACCGATTGCTTCACATCAAAAAGGATATTGTAGAGACCTTTATGATTTTTAAAGTCTCCATCATGTTCCCCCACCATTAGTCTTCTCTTCCTCACTTCCCCCCCAAATTAGCCTTTCACAAATGGATGTTCCTGAAGCCCCCTAATCATTTTAGCCACCCATTTCTGCACCTTCCCAAGTATTCATTTTGGGATGCGATGCCTGGAACTGGGCACCATATTCCAAGTGCGGCCTCCCCATCGGTTTTTGAAAAGGTGTCAGAACATAGCCTGGTAAGGCCATGTGCCGTTAAAGGTCTGTTCTCTCTAGTTATCCAAATGAAAAACATAGTGTGTGGCCTTTGAAAATGCACAGGAAATACAAGTTCAAGTCCCTCCTAAATTCTGCGGCTCGACCTCAGATTAACAGACCCTGTGGCCTGACTGTTTATGAATATGTACAGAGTGCTTTTCCATCATTGAGATTGAATGGGCCGCCTAGAAGGTGTGAGCCTTTGGCGGATCACCTGGGTTTTGTTAATGGTGTGGGGCAGCAGGTTGGCAGGGAAAGGCACTCCGAGGAGGAAACCCCACAGGCCCCTGCCAGGCCCCCATACCTTGCTGTTGTGCATCCTCTTCTTCGCGGCTACACCCTCATGCTCTTCCAGGGGGTTGGCTTTCTCGGCTGTCCCTCCGGCAGGAAGGCCCTTCTCTGCTTTCTTGAGGGGCTGTTCCAGCCTCTTGGCCTCCTGCCCGTGTCCACCTTTGGCTTCGCTGGGCTTCTTTGGCCGCTTGGCTGCCTCTCCTGGCAGCTTAGGCAAACTCCCCAGCTTAGCTGGCAAGTGAGCGAAGGGCGCCAGTTCCGGACTGGTACTGGCCTCATCTGTGGCCCTGCCAAAGGCCAGGTTGGCTTGGGGTCGGCTGTGGGGGCTGGGAAGGGCGTCCACCTTGGCCTCGGCCTGCCCCGTCCTCCTCCTCGCCGCTGCCTCTGCTTTCGCCTCAGCCATCTCCAGCAAGGACCCAGGGGAGCTGCCTTTGCTGCTGGAGCCTTTCGAGTCTGACCCGTCGGTGCTGGGGGCCTTGCTGGCCAGGGAGGGCTCTGGGGGCTTCCAGCCCAGCGAACTGAGGCTGGAGGGGCTCATCACCTGCTGGGTGATCTCGTTCAGGAACTCTGAGAAGCGGAGCTTCTCCTCCACCAGCTTCATCCTTTCTGTGACGGGGGGCTTTTTGGGGGTACTCAGATCCAAGCTGTTTGGGGGTTGCTTCTCCCTCTGGAGAGGCCTAGCAGGCCCGGGGGCAGACAGAGGCTCCTTCCCTATGGACCGCACAGTGATGGTCTCAATGGACTTGGCCTTCCGCAGCCAGTCGCCACCGGCCACTGCCCCATTTTTCAAGATTCCTTTGCTCGGCGCCGGAGCCCCGGTGTAATGGGGCTGCCGCGGGGCCAGGATTTCCGCCTGCTCGCTGAAGGCGAGGCTGCGCTCCAGGCTAGCGGCCTTGTAGAGGTGTCTGTCCACTCCATCGGGTTGGCCAGGCTGCGACTGCAGGCCGTGGCGGTTGCCCAGCCGGTCGGCACTCTTGCTCTGTCCTTTCCTCAAGCGGCTGAAGGAGCCGGGAACTTCTTCCTCCTCGAACTCCGCCATTTCTTCCTCCCGACCACGGCGGAAGGCCCTGGCCTCTCCCGAAAGGTCCACGCAGGACTGCGAGTGCTGGGGGTGATAGCGAGAGCTGGTCAGCAAGAAGGCCTCTTTGTCCAGGCTGGCTTCAGAGGACCACGAGGCCGAGCTAGAGGCTGAGGAGGAGGCCGAGGTGGAGGAGGCCGAGGATGACGAGAGCGTGGAGAAGTGGCCGCTCCGGCTCTCGGCCCACTGCTGGTGGCAGCTGCTGCAGTCCCTGAGCCCCAAGCCGGTGGAGGAAGAGGCGGAGGCCCCCTTGTTCTCCTTGGTCTGCCGGACAGGTGTGAAGAACTTTTCCATGACCTGCAGCTTCCCAGCTGGAACGTCTCCGTTGCTGCCCTTGTCGCCCTCCCAGTGGACGGGGGAGAACAGCCCGGCTTCCTCTTGGGCTCTCTTGTAGGACTTTCGGCGGATGGCTGAGGCGCTCATCCTGGAAAACTGGGCTCCGCTGGGCTCACTCTGTTGCACCGACTGCCAAGTCTCTCCCTGCCTGACTCGATTATTTAACCACCCCGCCTGGCTCAGTGGAGCAGAAGTGGGAAATGTCAATATGATGGGCACTGGAGCATCTCATCAAGCGGAGAGAAGCAGGCCGAGCTGTTGTGACATATGCTTTGCCTCACCCCTCTCCCGCCCTGCTCATAGATTCATGGAATCATAGCTAAACAAGATTATTACCTACCACATAAGACAGACCTTCCAAATGTCCCTATTTTCCAGGGACAGTCCCAGATTTACAGAAGCTGTCCCTGTTTCTGATTTGATCCCAGAATGTCCCACTTTGCCTTTAATTTGAGAAACATTGGAGGGTATAAGGGGCCTTGGGTGGGTACAGGGACCACCAGAAATGCACATGCTGGGGTGGCCTTTCTCTGTTGGCCAGCTATGGTAACTACTTCCAGTTCCTATCCACTGGCCTGGGAGAACGATACATTGGCCAGCATTCTGGCTGCCCCACAGCAGGATCTTGGGCCTCATATGCCACCCCAACATTACGACTGTAAATAACCTTATGTTTTACTAATCTCTGCTTCTGTGTGTCATCTTTGGCACTTGGTCAATGAGGAATAGAGGAATAGATTTTGGAGCCAATGTCTTAGGTCCAGCTCATCATAGGCAAGGATGAGCAACAAGGATGTTCAGCTGCTGTGAAACCACTGCGCCAGGTTTCTAAGGAGTTTGCACAAGGCTTAGCCTGTAACAGCACACACCAGCACACAGACTGGCCATTTAGACACAGAAAATCAACAGTGACAATTATTTTTTTTAAAGCAACCAGTGGCACCCATTCCTGCACACTATTGTTGTGAGAGGGGATGATGGTACATGTGAGAGACTGCAGGAGGAACGATCTAGGCTCAGCCAAACCAACGAAGCACCCAAAAGTACCAGTACATAAATATGTGTATACCCGAGAGCGCTTTTCCTAGCCTCTAAGCTACTGTATTAATACAATATTGATGCATTGTGGCATGTGAGGAGGGAGTACAATCCCATAATTAAATGTTGGAGTTATTTGATGCCACATTTATGTATCACCCGTAGACATTTACAGAGCAAACTTTCTGCAGTCTTGGTTGAGACATTTGCCATCAGCATGACTTTCAGATCTTCTCCGAGGGTTAAGACTGCCTCCTGCAATAACCCCCTGGAGGCAACTCGGAAAGCTTTAAGCCAAGCAGGAGCTCCCCACCCCCCACCCCGCCTCTTGTCGCCAGCAATAAGCAAAGATCAATAGTGCGGCTCCTCTGCCCTCGAGCAGTGACACTGGCAAGGTCACACGTGGCCTTGCTATGTGGTTGCTCCTCTGACTGGCAGGAACTCAATGGGTAGCAAAGACGCAGAGCAGGTTAAAGCCAAAGAGAAATTACTGTAATCTGTACAGCAGCACCCAATCGCCAGAGCTCCCCCCTTCCCCTAACTACTCCATCCATTGAAACAGCATTGTTTGCAGGATTTATCAGTTACTATGACAAATCCAACATCCAGGAGAGGAAGCTCTCTCAGGTCCTATTTGGCAATTTTAGACGTTTCACAAAAATGCTCTCACAACTTAGTCAAAAGCAAAGCCCACCCTATGTAGATGCCAGGATCTTGATCCATCCCTTCTGTATCTTTTGGTGGGACAATGGGGAAGCATTTATAGGTAGCTGCTCTCCAGTATCTCAGATAGAGATCTTCTCCAGCCTGACCAGGAGATGCTGAGTATGCTCTGGTGTTTACTTTTTGGGGGGGAGGGCACAAACTACTTATATGCAAACATATGTGGATTGAACCAATTGATTAAGACTCTTTAGATAGATCAGTTGGTCAGAGTGTGGTGCTGATAATGCCAAGGTTGCAGGTTCAATCCTGCATTGCAGGGGGGTGGATTTTAGGATCCCTTCCAACACTACGATTCTGAGTTTCATAGAGCAATGGTATGAAACTGGTACCCACCGTCCCGTCCGCAAAGCTTGCTGGACTACAACTCTCATAATTCCTGACCTCTGGTCACACTGACCAGAGCCAATAAAAACCAGAGTCCAACATCTGGAGGGCCAGAGTTTCCCCACACCTGTTGGTGCTGAAACAAAGTGCTTCCTTCTTACAAATCCACTTTAAGGACACTTACAGGTAGCATTTGATAACAGCCACTAAAAACTGATTCAGAGCAAGCAGCTGAGAAGCTTTGGGTCTCCCCTTTCAAGCTGTTAAGATATATCAGGTCCCCTTTTACTCACATGTGTAGGCAACTAGCCTAAAAGGTCAAGTTAAATTCTACGTAGCCTAAAGATACACACACTTTCTCACGTCATCAGCTGGCAGGCTGCAGTTGCTTTGCTCTCCAATACATGAATGGAACAGCAGCCAAATAAGATTCTCCTTTGATCGCAAGACAGAACAATGCAGTAACGGAAACAGGGCAGAACTGGCATCCAGGATGGTTGTAGTGTCCAGCTGCTGAGCTGCTGGTAGGCAGGTGTTTTAGAAAGTCAAGCCTAATCCTACTCACTCCACCTCCTATGGAAGGACCATGGTTCAGTCGTAGAGCATCTGCTCAAGACCGTTTGCACAGGTCTTCTCTAGTTTGCTCACAACAAGGATAGGCTATGCTGAAGCTGCTCTAAGCCACACTGGAAATGCATTCCGCCATCTCTCCAACTTCTGGCATTGTCTTTTCATTGAAAACTGAGATTTCCAGGGAAGTTTAACTCTGTGGCTCCATTTCACGTCTTCTTTCTCTCTAAAAGCAGGCAAGGGCTCTCAATCTTGTGGAGACAGAGAGAGAATGACTTTCTTCAGCCTCCGAGGAAGCTCTTAGCCAAAGTGAGGTCTTAGCCAGAGATTTTGCTGCTCATACGTTCCTCCGCTGTTATTACTCTAGCGCTCTAACAAGCCCAGAGGCTCTTCTCTGCTGTGTGGAGCTAGTGGCTTGATTCTTTGGATCCTGCCAGCAGATGTGGCACATTAAGGAAACTTGCCCTGCTTGCCTCTTGCAGCAGTAGTTAGCGAGGCATGCATTTATCATGATTTAAAAGTCATTTATTATGGACACATCAATATAAACACTCTGGACAAGACCAGCCAGCAGAACTACAAAGGAAAACCAGGAAAGGATGAACATGGAAGTATTTTTTTTATTAAACATATTATTGCTATAAAATGTTTTGAACCCAAACATGGCACGCTTCCCTCACTGCCCAACCCTCCCAGTAATTTGTGCTTTTTGACATTTTCCCTGCTTATACAACACACTGTGTCACCATGAAGAAACTCTCCAAACCAACCAATGGAGCAGGTGTACATGGGGGAGTTCTTTTTCCAACAAGGAAATGTCAGCATGAAGTGAGAGAATGCCCATTATTTCTTCTGTACTTACTCTTAAACAAGTGCACTGAGAAACAGAAACACAGCCAGAGAAAACCAGTGAAAGAGCCTCAGGCAACCAGCCCACCTCACCATTAACAAGTACATGATAAGAATTACCAACCATGGACTAATGTCACTCTGTTGGTGACATTTCACTGCAAAAAAAATAGTAATAAAATGTATCGCCCCTAAAAATCAAGAAGAGCTGGTATTTCACTCTATGCTCCAAAGTAGGAATTATAAACACAGAAAGCCAACACAGAATATATATATTTTTTAGAAAAACCCACTGAATTTAAAAATACAGCAATGTTCTGTTGGTGCAATGATACCTTAGCACATTTTGAATAGTCCAAGTAATTATTATTTACCTGCCAACCTATGAAGAAAAGGATAAACAGCCTTTTTAAAATACAGAATAAAAACAGAATGAACACAGGCAGATCACGCAGATGTGATGTTTCAAATGCACAAGGCAGGCTATTTAGCAAGTATTACATGGGATGCAGCCAGAAGCTGTCGTCCTTGCTTCCGCCAGTGTCAAAACTCAAGGGAAAGTCATCACCCAGTAGCTGGACCTGTACAACATCATTACCCAGTTTGCGATTTGCCACCAAGTCCACCTGGCAGCAAAGAAACGTACTGCTTTCTGGGTTTGGAGAACCGGAAGAGCTCCACAGGACAAGCCCAAAATTTGTGAACAAAGAGCACTCAATGAGCAGACAGGCAGCACTCCAGTGAAAGAGGAGACTTTATTCCACAAGGAGGTCGAATCTCTCCGCTTCTTCAAACTCCGCGTTCATCTGGGCTGCCCATTCATCCAGCTGTGATACCTGAAAAGGCACAGAGAGGCTTCAGCTAAAAGGGTGGCTCCACTTTAGTGACCCTACAAGATAACAAACAGGCAGTGGTGTCCAAACTTTTTTCAAAGAGGGCCAGATTTGATGAAGTGAAGGGCCGTGAGGGCCAACCAAAGGGCCAACCTTTTTTTAGGATTGAAGTTGTCAAGATTTTTAAAGGATTTTACCCCAGGAAATAAACTGCCACACAGGCCGGATTACACTGACCAGTGTGCCGGATTAGGCCCCTGAAACAGACTTTGGACATGCCTGGGGTTGGGGCAGCAAAGTGCCAGAAAGGCCAACAGTTTAGCAGAAGGAAACGCTAAAGGGAGAAATGAAATTCTGTGCTCTAGAGAGTTAAGCAAATTTGAAATGTACATCTTAGTGAATGAACTGTGTGTGGTTAAAAAAAGATTCAAATAATATAAAAATAAGCAAACCTATGTTATAGTTTAGGCATATTATAGGGCCCTGTGGAACTGTGCTTGTCACCCTTTTTTAAAAATAGGAGGCTGTACTTGTTAAAATCCCAGAACTCCCTGCCAAGGTGACCCAAGTTCTGAGACAAGACTGAACTCTACCACTGGAAGGGCTCTGCAAATTAAGAACATGAGCCTACAATTATTCTGCTAGATACGGCGATGGGAAAATATCTAAGCAGGGTGCTAACCATTGGGCAATGCTACTCAGTAGAAGCAGCTTTCAAGGCCTTAGCAAATATGGCCAACCATTTCCTTTCTCCACACACGCACCTTCCAGGCAATGTTTGAAATTCCCCAGGTGTTTTGCAACTGGCATGTGTCCAATTGCAACTGTGGAAATCTTAGGATGCCAGGTTGGCGACTGACATCTCCATCAGGATGGCTCTCCAGCTTTCTTAAGCAAGTAAGCAGAAGAGCTTATTTATTGCATTTACACTCCACCTTTCCCCCCGAAGGAGTACATGGTTCACCCACCCCTAGTTAATTCCTACAATGACATAGATTCCCCATGACATAGATTAAGAAGCTATGACTGGTCCAAGGCCACCTAGTGAGCTTCATGACTAGTGGGGATTTGAACCCTGACCTCCCAGGTCCTAGTCCCGACACTCTAACCCAGAGGTAGGCAACCTAAGGCCTGTGGGCCGGATGCAGCCCAATCGCCTTCTCAATCCAGCCTGCGGATGGTCCGGGAATCAGCGTGTTTTTACATGAGTAGAATGTGTCCTTTTATTTAAAATGCATCTCTGGGTTATTTATGGGGCATAGGAATTCGTTCATCCCCCCCCCCAAAATATAGTCTGGCCCACCACATGCTCTGAGGGACGGTGGACCAGCCCACGGCTGAAAAAGGTTGCTGACCCCTGCTCTAACCACTACATTACCCTGGCTTCCTACAGTACTTCTGCTTTAGGGGCAGCTATATAAATTAAATCAGTGAATAAATATGGGGAAAGTAAAATGTCACTCAGAGAAGGATCTGAAATATTTTCCTTGAAGCTTGAATTTGTTTTATTCTAGATTGTTTTATTTGATGTTTTAGTGTGTTGTAAACTGCTTTTGATATTTTTTAAAAAAAATATAAAACAGTATAGAAATGAATATTTATAACAACAAATTTCACTGGGGCCGGAGCAGGGTAGATGCCTAGACATTCCATTGCGGTGACTATAACCTAGATTTAAGGTGTCATTTAGTGATTAGCTTATACACCTGAGTTTCTAACATTGCTTCCAGGATTGCCAGGATGTGGCCATTTCTAGCCCTCCAAGGTGCAACTTCAATAGTAAATAACTAGATATAGCACTTTAAAGTGCTCGATAAGGCTTCCTGTGCATTATTTAGTTGAGATCCTTACAACAAGATCATGTTACACTTTTCACAGGTGTAGGGTAATATTTTTCAGCCACAAGGCCAGATCTTTATCTCTCCAATCCCTGGGAAGCCCATTTTGACAGATGGTTGGGGACCCCCACATGTCAATCACTTGACATTGCAGTGATGTTAGGCGACTCTTTTCTTTTCAGCAGTGGAGCCCCAGAAGCCCAGTTGGTGCAGACTTTAATGTCCATGTTATGTCCCCCTTTCATGCTTCCCACACTCTGAAATGTCTGAAATGTTATACTTACATCAAATTGTGGCATCTTCTTCTTCCTTCGTTTTTCCCTGACAAATGAGATACCTGGGATGTCTGTGTCTCTCTCATTGATGGCTCCAGGCTCTGCCACTGTTGACTTCTGGGGAACAGCTGTGTTCACAGGAGAGATGTTGGCGAGCTCACCTGGAACCAGAAGCTTATCAAAGCCAAAAAGAGTTTGCCGCTTGACTGGGCCATGGGTAGGTGTGGAAGTGTCCGAGAGGCCGGAGCTGGGAGAATCTTGTCGCCTCCCCAGGAAACTGTAGCTTAAGGGGTTCTCCAGGCGGCTGTAAGACCGGCGTACTCTTTTTGGCCTGGCCAGTTCTTGCTCGTCATCAGCACTGACTGGGGGCAGGAGGTCGGTCCCTGCCGGTAAGGCCTCGTCCTCAGGATGCAAAGAGTTGTGCAGGGGAGAACGCTTCAGTTCCACCTTGGCATTACTTTCAACCTCTGTGGTTCTCAGAGGAATGTTTTCAACCTCTGTGGCTCTCAAAGGAATGTTTTCCTTGTCTTCTTTTAATGAATTCTGTAAGAGAAGATGCAAGCTTAACCTTCAATAGGAAAGGCTTCTGCAGGTGACAGACTTAGCACTCTATTCTGAATAATGCTGAAAAGAGTACTCCAGCAAGAATGCCAAATGATTCACTAATTTCAGCTGATTAACTACCTGCCTTGGAACAAATTAATTTAAGCCTATTTGCATATAGCCAAAGTAACAATGTTATGCACCTTTCAGGTATCAAATACAGTATATCCATATTCATTTGTAAATTAACAACCCATCACATTGCGAGTTGGGATCATCTTTAAATAGCTCTTTTTTCATTTCCTTGTGCAGTGACACACCAGAATCAAAGAGGCTTAAAATAATAATTATAATAGGAACAAGTGTGTCCGTCATTTACAGCATCCCTGCTCCAACATTGGCAAGTTAAAGTTCACAGCCCTGATGAAAAGGCGTGGCCTTTCTGTTAACCACAGAACCTGGTGCTTGAGACTTACCCTTGGACTCCGACGAGGAATTAAGGCTGTTTCTTTTATCTGGTTTGGAAAAAGGAAAAGAAAACCCAAATGAAAATGCATTCTGCTGCCAGAACTGCTGCTCCTGTGGATCATGCCGTCTGAAGTGGTTGCCTCCCTGCTTCAGAGGGAGTGCAATCTCATCCAGAACAGGTAACAGAACTATTTCTTAGACATGGAACCATTCTTCCACAGGGCATCTTTCTTGCCAGGATTCAGATTCAGTTAACTGGCCTAGACCAACACTGCATTCAGGGTCTGATCCAGGGTCTGTATGTCCCCTCCTGATCTTCAAATTAAGGTAGATGCACTATAGCATTAAAATTTTGCCAGTATTTGGATTTACTTGTTCTTTAAGAGCCAAGTGTAGATGAAAAGAAGAAGTGGTGAGCAGGTGTGAAGGGCAGATCTACAAGCAGCAGGGAGATTTTTTGGTGGTAGCAGCTTTTCCAACCTCCATCAGAAGCTCCAGCATGTCTTCTTTCAGTACAATTCTTCAAAAGATGTTGAGTTATAGTCCAATTCTTAGAGCAACTAGTTAACTACTAAGGAAATTTGTGAATTTCAAAACAGGAAACTTGATTTAACTATCTTTGCATCTGGTCACCCTAAAGAGTGGCATGTAAGTACAAAACATTAATCTGAAGGGGATACTATGTTGCAGTTTAGGCTCTAATCTGGGTCCTGGGTGCAAAGAGGCTAAAAGTCAGGGTGGAGAGAGAGACAAAATCCATGGATGGCTCTCTCTGCACTAGCAGAAAATGGCACGAGGCCTCTGAAACTCTACGTACCTGCCGATTTCGTGGCATGATCTTTTTCACAGTGACCGGCCGCATTGCAAATGGTCCAGATGTCTGTGGAGAAGACAAGTAACAATTGAAGTGAGTGTTGAAAGGGAACCTTAGTAGAAAGGGTTATGCTCCTTCTGTCCAAAAGAACCCCAACACCAGCCTTTTGCTAACAATTCCCTAGGGACATCAGCTGTCAAAAAAGCACATTGGTAGAAGCAGTCAAAGTTCAAGCAGGAGGAGCGCACCCAGGGAAAACACACAGGCTGAGGCGTTTCCTGCCCTGATCGCAGCCTGGGCAGGAAAACAGGATAAACGTTTCCACCCACCAGTTTGCCGCCTGGCACTTTGCTCGCCACCGGGCTCGGCTTCCCCTGCGACACGGGCTCAGCCGAGGGCGACGCGATCCTCTCCGACCGGCGCCGCCGCGAGGGAGAAGCAGCAACAGCATTAACAGCACCTGCGAGAAAGGGACCGAGAGAGGGGGGCGCTCAGCAGCAGCTAACCCTGGGGGGATCCGCCAAGATCTCCCGCGATCCCCCTGGGCGGCCGCTCTGGATGTTGCTCGTTCCCGCCGCCGCCCCAGCAGCGGCCACCCCAGGCGGGCTGGGCTCGGGCAAGACAGACGCCCGTCCTGGGGGCAGGATCCAGGCGGGTCCTTCGTGCGCAGCCAGGCCGCCAGCCAACGGGACCCCACAGCCGAGGGGGCCTGAAGGTCGCCCCAAAGGGAGGGAAGAGCGGGGCTAGAGGCGCTGAAGGAGAGACGGAAACGGCCTGACCGACTGCCGCCCCCCACAAAATGGGCGCCTCTTCCTCTCTTTGCCCCGCACCGCCCCCTGCTGATAACGGCCCTCTGGTAACGTGACCCCTCCCCGCTCACCTGCCCGGGCCTCCCCAGCGGAGCGAGCCCTCCTGGGCCCGGCGCGGCCTCCTCCCGCCATTGCGGCCTGCGGCGGCTTCCCTTCAAGATCCTCTTCGCCGTTGAATTCTCCCGCCACCGCTTCGGCGGAAGTAGCGTAAGGGAAGAGGCGCGGCAAGGGAAGCGAGTCGCCGCTCTAGCGCCATCTTGGGAGAGGCCGCCGCAGCCGCCCCGCGCGGCGCTCTCGCGAGGTTAGCGCCGCTCGCGTGACGCTGGGGATGATGCCATCAGCGCGCGTCCTCCCCGGAAGAGACGTGGCAACAGGGCCAACAGGCGAAGGCATCGTCGTCCCCCTCCCTCCTCCTCCGCCTTCCTTCCTCCCGTCATGGCCACGCCTCTTCCCCGGAATCTGTAAGGGGAATCCGTGAGTATCGGCGGACCTTCGCGCGGGGCCGGTAAATAAGGGCTAGGGCGCCAAGGGATCGCGTCACTCGGACGCCTGGGTTCCTTTCCTGGTGGAGTGCAGGAGTCCTGGGTTCCTGGCAGGGCGGGGCTGCAGAGCAGGGCGCCCGGATCCCCTTCTGTGAAAGAGGAGCGGCAGTGGGGCGATCACTGCTCCTGGGTTCTTCGCGGGGCGTGAGCGTCGCTGGATCCGGGCGGGGCGGCGGCTGGGATGCTTGGCTGGAAGAGATGACGATTGGCATGTGGGTGGGGGGAGAGAAAAGCCTCTGTGGTTTTTAAACATCCCAGTCTTGAGGGTGCTTTCGTGGAGATATCTCCAGTGCGCCTGGGACTAACTTGGGTAGTACAGTACTGTATTTGTGTGGGCAGAGTATTGCTCTCTCCGTGGGGTGATTCTGGTACAGTATAGCTATAGAGCAGTAATAGTTGCCTGAAAGATCAGGGAAATCAACAGGTCTAGCTTTCTCTGCTTTTGCAGCGCCATGTTCCTCAGTGTTACCTGCTGTGTTTTGGGGTGGGAGGTGGAGGGGAGAGTGCAAATGTTGTGAGAGCATTCAGATGGTGGCAGTGTAGATTCTGGACTCTGTTAGTGAGGAACTTGCAGGAATTGAAGCTAATGATGAAGACTTGGGGTGTAGGTTGTGCTTTGCTAATCTGGTATCTAGGTGGGGTTGGAAAGCCTTCATCCAGGCAAGGCAGTAATCCCTCTTTCTTTCTTTCTTTCTTTCTTTCTTCTTTCCTTGCCTAGCTTTCTTTGGTCTTGAGTTGGCACTGTATTTGCCATCATGGGGCTTTGTAAATGCCCCAAGAGGAAAGTCACCAATCTGTTCTGTTTTGAGCACCGGGTGAATGTCTGTGAGAACTGCATTGTTGCTAATCACGCCAAGGTAAATGGGGACACTGGATTAAGGGTGGAGGGTTGAGACTGGGCTAGAGAGTTACCTTTTGCCTGGAGACAATGTAACCTTGGAAAAGGGGGAAATGGGGATTTTAGATTCTCGTCTTTCTCCCTTTTCCTGCTCTTGTTAGAAACACAAAAGCAGAATGTTGAAAAGTATTTGCCTTTGTGATGGGGTGTGTGAGAGGAACCTGCATCATTCAAGATTTTGGGCTATAACTCCCACCAGGGCATAGCTGTCAACCGTCCCTTATTTGTCGGTAAACTCCCTTATCCCAGCGCCGTGTCCCGCTGCTGTCCCTTATTGATGATGTCCCTTAAATTTCCCAGGTTTCAAAGGAAGCAGCTCCTCTCCCTCCCTCCCTCCCTGCCGGCCAGGGAGGAGGGAGGCTCCAACTGTGTTGCTTGGCTGCCCGGCCCGCCCCCCTCCGGCCTCCTCTCACCAGCCTTGGCCGCCGGGAGCCCCTCCCCGCCAGGACTGAGGGGCCTTGAGAGGAGAGCGAGGGCAACCATAGAGAAAGCAGTTCAGAGAGAGGAGGAGGAGGCGGTTCCAAGGGCTAACCATAGAGGAGGAAAGCGGAGGAAGGACTGCAAGCGTTTCTCCCATAGATTTGTAGTGGTAGATTAGCATAGATACTCTGATCTGTGGGTTTACTTTGGGCACTATTTTCCCCCTTCCCTTCCTCCCGCCCCGCCTGATGGAACTGAGAGCTGCAGATGGAGCACGAGAGAAAAGATACAGAACTGCAGCAGCATCTTCGTAGCTTGGACTTCGTTTTGCGCGGAAAGTGGTTGCTGCTTGTAGTTATTTAATTGCAGGGTTTCATCAGCTGGTGTCTTGAGCAGCAACCTCTGGAAATGAAGGGCTAAAAACCAGTGCTGCATTCCAAAATTATCAGGTCCCTTTTAACTTTGTATTTCAGCTGGTTGACTAAAATCCCTTATTTTCAAGGCTGCTGTTCCCTTATTTTCAAATCTGTACATTGACAGCTATGCACCAGGGGCGCACGGGGATGGTGGGAGTTGTAGCTCAAGGGCCATGGCACCATCTCCCCTTCCCTCAATTGTTGCTTTATGCTACCTTTTCAGAAGTGTGATGAAGTGCCTCCTGGGCATTGATTTGTATGCTGTTCAAACATTTGATGCAGAAGGGTGGCTTTTTGTTGCCCTTATCATCTGCCTTCATTGGCTTTTTTTTCTGGAGCTTGGAAAGTTGGTAGAGGGAAGAACCTAGAACCACCTCTGTATCAACAGCTACTGGGGCCAAAAGAGCCAGTCCATATGATCCCGGTCAGTCGTTCTGAGGTTTTTTCCCAGCTTTCCTGCCCCCTTTTATTTTTTTAACTTTTTGTCAATCTGCGTAAAGCTGCAGTTACGCAAATGATATCACCATAATATGTGATTTACCTGTACATAATAAAGAAATAGGGTTGGTTCTGATTCAGTTATGTGACTGTCTCCTGCCTACAGTTCGACAATTTCCTAAGCACCCTCTTAGTAACACCTACTCTGCACCAAGTTCAGACCTCTCAGACACACAAAAGTAGGCTGTGTTTTCCCTTGGGCAGGGGTCTGCAACCTTTAAGACAAAAAGAGCCACTTGGACCTGTTTCTGAAGAAAAAAAAACCTGGGAGCCGCAAAACCATTGCGACCTTTAAAGCATGCGCACCGCTGCCCTCCGATCTGACAGCGGGTGGGAAGATGACGTCGGGACAGTGTGTGACTAACGCACGCACCACCCCCATGCGACGTCACAGCCAGTACAGCGCCCGCCACAGTGGGGAGTGTCGGGGCGCACAATGTGCCTCCTCCCCTCGCTAGTATCCGCCCCGGAGCCGCGGCAAAGGTGTAAAAGAGCCACGTGCGGCTCCGGAGCGCAGGTTGCAGACCCCTGCCTTTGGGGAATCTTACTAGACCTGAGCATCTTTAGAAAATTTTGTTATTGTTATCATTATCATTGTTACCAATATCCTAAAACTCTGGTGCAACCACACTTACCCTGAGCCTAATTCCCTCTTGCCAAGCATTTGCCTCTTTTTTCTTCTTCTAGTGCATTGTCCAGTCATACCTGCAGTGGCTTCAGGACAGTGATTACAATCCCAACTGTCAGCTGTGCAATACACTGCTCTCCACTAAAGAGACAGTCCGGCTGGTCTGCTATGGTCAGTAAAAGTTCTCTACGCTCTTAGGTGTGACATCCATCCATGAAGGTCTAGGCTCTGCAAGCAGTAACTCTGCTAAACTTAGCAAATCGTCCTCCTGAGGCCATCCAGAAAACCCCCCCCCCCCACTGGACCTTGAAATGCCACTGCAGCAACTTTAAAGTTGGCTTCATGCAAATAGAGAGGCAGGAAAATGTTGATTGTGGAAAGAGGGTGGGGTGTTTGTGGGAGATGCCCCCTACTCCGAGTCTGCCAGAAACCTGTAGTTGGTTAAGGCTACTGGGAGGGGGAAGCTACAGTTCCCAGTATTCATTGTGGGAAGTCATGTGTTTTGGATATGCTTTAGCTGTATGGTGTGGTTCTGCTCTATCTGTCCCCATGCGAAGGTTCGCCCTAACAGATCCCCCATCCCCGTTCCTGTAGATCTCTTCCACTGGTCCTGCCTCAACGAGATGGCCAACCAGCTGCCGAAGAATACTGCCCCAGCTGGCTACCAGTGTCCCAACTGTCAGGGCCCCGTCTTTCCACCGGCCAACCTTGTCAGTCCAGTAGCATCAATATTGCGAGAGAAGCTGTCGATGGTGAATTGGGCTCGGGCTGGCCTTGGGCTCCCATTGGTAAGAGGCAATTACAGCATTTTTGGTTTTCGTTTTATTCTAAGGAGGGCTAATTGAAGGCATAAGAAAAGCTTGGTTGGATCAAGCCGGTGACCCATCTGTTCCAGCATCTGTCACCGAGGCCAATAGAGCATAGCTATGAATGATTTGCCTAGAGCCTGCTGCCAGGTAGAGAAGTTCTTGCTGTTTTTAGCTTCTGGGATTGTCTTGTGAGGAGGAAAGAACGTGATGCAGCAGTCAGCAAAACATCCTTGATGGGGAGGGGGACTCTGCAGTGGGCTCCTCATCAAACAGATTCCCAGATGGCAGTTCCCTTTTTCCTTTCCCCTCTCGGGGACTGGACCACTTCCATGTTTCAGCATGTGCAAATGTTTCCCACTTGGGTAAATCCAGGGTGTTTGTATCTGTGGACAGACAGACATATCCAAGGAAGTGAAGGGTCAGCTTCAGGGCATCTCTGCGAGCTGGAAGATGAACCTCAGCCAGGCCAGGCCTGCTGGACTGAAGGCATAGATTCTAGGGCCAGAGGACTTTCTGCACCCGCCCGCCCGCACGTTTCTTCTGCCTGCTGTTGATTTTCCTAATTAGCCTTAAATCTGACTTTTGCTTTCATTCTGGTCAGATTGATGAAATGGACACAGTCCAGGAAGCGGAGCCTCATGACACCGCAGACTACACAGATTGGTCCAGCTTCACCGGTGAGTATTGCCGGAGTAGGAGGAGCCAGACACTGTGACAGCTATTCTGTCTCTTGGCCGCTGGTCCCACCCCTCTGGCAGGGTCTCCTGGCATGATAACACAACTCCTTTTCTCTGGAGGCTTTGTGAGCGCAGAGGTGCCCCACTCGGGAGACAGCTGTGTTTAGGAACTAACTGGGGAGGGGGCTGCATTTTGCAATTCCATTCCCGTTGGGAGATTTCCTACCCCTCTCTCCCATGAGCATTGCAAGCAGGAAAGTTGGGGAGGGGGCTTACCCTCATAGCAGCCAGAATCTCTGTGTTTGGTGGAAAGAAATTGCCGTGGCCTCACACTGAAGACCTTGCCCTTGAGGGAAGGGGCATGGCCCTGGTGACCCTGGGTCTCTGGCCTAAACTTGTGAAGAAGTGTCTCAAGCGCATGAACCAAGCCTTGCCTCAATGACCTCTCCTCTCTTTCTCGCCCCATATCCAGTCCTCAACTCAGAGGAGGCTGTGCAGCAGAGCCCCCATTCGGCCTTCTCTTACGGTTCAAGCGCAAGCTTCCCCTCCTCCCAACAACAGCAAAGCATGAACAACGGGGCGGTGCAGGAGCATCAGCACACGGTTATCAGCATGAATGCTTTGTCCAATGACCCCGTCACCATTAACGCAGGTAGGCACACAGGTGGGGGGCCTTTCATCCAGGGAAGGGTGCCTGCGGGGAACAATACTATCTCCCCTGCGATGGAACGTGGGCTGAGGAAGAGCATGGGATCTCATGCCTTTTTGCTTTCTGCCTTGCTGCTTGTGGCCCGTTCCTCTCAGATGTGAAGCTGGCAAATGGGGCAAATTGGATTGTGGGAAGCAGGGAAAGGAGACTTCTCCCATCCTACTGAGGCTGCCAGTTGACGGGCAGATATTTAAGATGGACAAAAGGAAGAACTTTTTACAGCACAGACCACACATAGTTGGATACACACCTGCCTTCTTCATGGGTCTCCCTGCTGCTCCTCTTTTGTTGATTGTCTCCTTGGCAACCTCACCCCAGTAGCGCTCCTTGATCAGTGGCAGGAGCCAGAGGGTGCTGCTCTTCAGTTCTGCAGTCCCAAGGCAAGCGGCAAGTTGGAGCCAAATGGGTTTCTGGCATGGAGGGCAAGGCAAGCAACAAGGAGGAGAGCCATGCCCATGCCTGGCACGCAGGAGGTCCAGAGGTCCAGGGTTCAATCCCTACTGGCATCTCCATTTAAAAAGAGGATCAGGGAGCTGCAGTAGCAGCAAGAGGTGTTGGGAAGGCCATGCCTGCCTGCCTGGTGGGTCAGTTCTGCTGGTCAGTGTGTGCAGAGGCAGCAGCCTTTGACTCATCTGAGCTGGGACAGGGCGGCTTCTGGGATGCCTCCTGGGTCATCCTCATGCTAATAATAATTATTATACCTTTATTGTCATTGTACAACCTGTATACAATGAAATTAAACGAGCCTCCCCCACCCCCAAACACTCAATCTCTTATTGAACAACACACCATCTCGCAAGTCAATTTTGCTATGTTATTTTGCGTTCAACAGCCTAAGAGCCCACAGACAGAAGTTATTTTCTAGCCTGTTGGTACGGCTGATTATACTTCTATATCTCCTGCCTGAGGGTAGAAGATTAAAGAGGTGAGGGCCAGGGTTTGAGTCATCCCTGAGAATTTTTCTCGCTCTCCTAATGCAACAATCCCTTGCGATGTCATCTAGCGGACTCAAAGGACAGCCCATGAGATCATGTGCTGTATTCACCACCCTCTGTAGAGACTTTCTGTCCATGGCATATCAGGGTTTGTAAAGTGGGTTAGGCCTTTTTTGTGGGGGTGGGTGGCCTTTTCCAACCCATTTTCTCTATGCTATTATCCGTTCCTTTTCTGGCAGCCTCCTCGCCACGGAAAGTGTATGACACCCGGGAAGGCGGGGGCAGCAGGGCTTCCGAGGCTCACGTGGACTTTGACGAAGACAAGTATCGGCGGCGGCCAGCGCTTGGCTGGCTTGCCCAGCTGCTCAAGTAAGTTTGGAAGAAGCTGCAGCCGTTCAGAGTGGGGACTGGCCAGAGACACGGGGGCCTCCTGTTCCCATGGGGCTGATGTGGAATCTGGAAGGCTTCTATACAGGCTGGCATGAGAATGGTAGAGAGATCAGATACAGGAGGAGTCTGGGCTTGTACTGAAGGAAGGGCGGGAAGCCTAAGTCCCAGTGGGAGGGGCAGGAAGCCGGGCTGTGGTGTGTATGCAAATGTGGGCACACACACTCTCTTCTTTTGTTTGTTTGTTTTCTACCTTCAGAGCAGTACTGCCTTCACATTTTCAAACACATCATTTGGGCTATGATGTTGTGCAGGAAGCCAAATTGAGCCTCATAGACTGAGCTCTGTTTAGCCTTGATTCCAAATATTTCTCTGTCTCATCATCCCTGTTCTGAATTGACTCATCCTTGTAACGTGGAGAGGGCTGAAATCCACCTAGCAGGCTGGGAGGCACGAGGTCTGTCTCTCGCCCCAAACTTCCCAAGCTTCCCTCCATTACCTTCTGGGTACCTTTTTATTTGAGCTTATAAAATGTTTAAATCGAAATATGTTTAACCTTCCAATTGCTTTTCCCCCACCTTGGATTGTGCCACTGAAAGCAGGCACTTAATTCTTAAGCCTACTTATTAAGGAACTCCTTTCAGAAAATGCCTTGTTCCTTACTATACTGTCCCTAAGGCTTTCCCCCTCAGCTGTGTCCTCACAGCAGCTCAGCTAATGTCTAGAAGGAGCTCACAGTTCACCAGTTTGGATTTCGCCTCTTCCCTGCTTGGAAGGAGCTCTTGCTAACACTTTCTCTCCTTCCTCTTGCTGTCAGGAACCGCTTCAGCTCTAGGAAGCAGCCCCGCTCCATGATGCAAAGGTTCGTCATCCTCCTCCTAATTGGTGGAATTGGTTTCCTCACCCTTGTCATCATCATGATGAAGGTGGGACGGGCCTCTGCTGACCACGACCCCAACTTGGACCCCAAGTTCAACCCACACATCCGGGTTGGGCAGGAGTGAGTGGGGGAGGGGCAGCCTCTTCCCTGCTGGGCTCCCTTCTCTGTTCTGGGCTCCCCTGCCCGCTCCTGGAGAAAGTTGGACCGAAGAGAGTCCTGGAATAGCTCTTTGGTTGCAATCTCAGCCCCTCCCAGGAAGAAACAGGTGACCACGGCCACTCCTGACAGCTTGGACAAAGAGACTCTGGTGAAGGAGTCGCCCTCTTCCTTCTGTCTTCTGCAAACTCAAGCTGGAGCTGGGAACTCTTTTTGCATTTGGGGGGGGCCCAGAGAGCACCCCACCCCTTTCCTGCTGCATCCAAATGCCGGGATGGTCACAGGCGGGAGAGGCTCGCTTTTCCTGGGCATCTCCCCATGACACTACAGAGAGGAATAACAGTTCAGTGGTCTGCATCTACTTTTTCTGACTACCACTCAATGGAGTACCCCCATCTTCCTCCGTTCACTGATGTGAAATGACAGCTGCTGAGTCAGCAGAGGAGCTCTCTCGCTCCCCCCCCATCACACACACAGACCAACCCCCAAAGTTTCATTGGCTTTCTTTTTACCAAAGTTAAAAGCCCAACCTCTTCGCTCAGCTTTTACTAGCAGCTGAGATACTCTCTTTTGTTTTTCTCAGCTTTGATGTTCATAAAGGAACTATGGAAACCAAGCACTCCCCCACGCACCCCTGCTCCCTCCCAGTGCCCTGTAAAAGTGTCGGTAAAAGAGTGGGACCAAGTGGGGGTGGGGAGGAGTTTCCTCCCTTTGCCCAATTTGGGGTGGGAGGGGGTTTCAGTAATAGGCTTCTGCTGCTTCAGACCCGCCTCAGTGCTTTGCTGTGGGCTATCTGAATTCCATGAACATAGGGAAGCCCTACGTCGATCTCCTTATGGTCCTGGCAGGGCTGGTGCGTGGGGGCTCAAGCACTTTACCTAAGGTAGTTGTTTTTCCAGCATAAGCACCATCCCCGATAGCTTTCCTTAGCACAGCCGTAGCCCCAAGGAGCAGGTGCCTGCTTCTTGCACAGCCCATCTTTGCCCTGCCAAGTGTGCACCTCTCAACAGGGCGTTTGCAGCTGGAGAGAGCACTAGGGAGGAGGGAGCAGAATCCCCTTACCACAATACTCTGGCAGTAATGGAGACATGGATAAATGGCTCATTGTCAGCTCAGCAGAACGCTGAAATAGCAGAAATCTAAGTGAAAGCTGGCAGCACAAGTGGGGTTTGTTTTTCCTGCTTTAACAGTGCAGTGGCTGGGATCGTGGGTTCCATGTTAAGTTTATTGTGGCAAATGTGATGCCTGTGTACCATTATTAGAAAGGACTGGTTGGCCTTGCAATCCCAAGCACCATCTCTCTCTGCTCATCCACCCCCCAGATCTCACGCTGCAGGGCTGGTAGCAGCTGGGTGATCCTCAGACCCTGCTCTTCAACTGAGAGGTGCTGGCCCCATTCATAGCAGTTTGGAAAGGGAGTGGGGCACACAAGCCTTCCCATGATCCCTTGCAGCAAGGAAAGGTTATTTGGAGGTGTCTGTCTGGCATTGCCCCAGCAACATGACTGTGTGGCTCACTGACCACCTCAATTCTCTCTTGGTGAAAATACAAGACTTTATTACACCTGAAGCAATAGACCTGTTTGTTTGTTGGTGTTCCATTAAACTCTCTTGGTTAACCCGAAACTGTATTTGCTCCCTCCCTTCTTCCTTGGAGGCAAACGGGAACAAGCCTGGGGAGTGCCCCCCCCTTTGAGAATCGCTGCTTAGTACTGTTCCTCTCTGTAATCAATGGTGGCATAGTCCATGCTGAAGCGGGCAAGGAAGGCGGCAAAGTTCAGGGCTGGGCAGAAAGGAGAGGAAGGCATCAGTAATGATTTCAGTACAAACACTGCTTTTTCTCAATTGAAAGATGGACATCTGAAGTCTGACATCCTCCACACAACCTAGGCCGATGAGTTATTTCACAGTTACTTGTGTGCTACAGACATGCAGGCCCATTGGGAATGTAGCGCTAAACCATGGTTTAGCTCTATGGTAATAAGCCATGGGCTTGCATATTTCCCCTTTCCCTCTCCGCTGGCATGGCTCCCATGAGGAAATTCGAAGTACCCACTTTCAAACTATTTAGAATTCCTTGCTGCTTCTCAGTTTGGTGGAACTCTGGTTAGCTTAAACTGTAACCTGAGAAGCTGCCTCATACAGAGTTAGGCCATTGATCCACCCAGCTGAGTACTGTCCCCGCTCCACTGATTTGTAATAGCTCTCCAGGGTTTCAGATGTGGGACTTTCCCAGCCCTACACAGAGATGCTTCTGAGGACTGAACCTGTAACCTTCTGCATGCGAGGCAGATGCCCTGACACTGAGCTGCAGCCCTCTCCTGGTTTGTTAATAAGCCAGGACCACAAACCAACAACTTGATAGTGGCAGCACCATAAACCATGGCTTTGATCCTACATTTCAAAGCAAAAGCAGAAGCTTCCAGTCTCTTCACTGCTTTGGCAGAGGAGACTCGTTCACAAACCACTAACATCATGTAGAAAAGTACGTTGTGGCAGGGGAGCTGAAAGCGCTGATGGAAAAAAGTGACTCCACTTCTCCAACACACAATGGGGGTGGGAGGGACCCACTGCTTTGAAGCAAGCAAGTTTATGCGTTTCTGGGTATGACAAAATGTGGAATGGCTGACAGCAGCCTGGGAGGTCAGGGGAAGCCCTCACAGAAGTTGAGCCATTCAGTATGGAGTTTGGGCTAGAGGACTGGGTCTTATGTCTGGGAAGCATCAGGGAAAACCTTGCTACCCCAGGGCCAGAGTTGGCTGCTGCTGCGACATGAGGTGGCACCTTCTCCTTTGCAGCAAATGTGACATTCCTAACTGGGCCCACCTCTTTCCACCACCGATAATCCCAGCTGAAGGCCCATCCCTCTAAGCTCTAGCCACACTCCTCCTCCTCTCAGGGTTGGGTTCTTTTGGAGGTGGCTGTTCCGACTTGGAGATGGGGACACTGTGAGTGGATTCCTTTTTCCTGGTTCATTGGCTAGAGCTGGGGCAGGTTTTCCAGTGTGCATTTTCCTATGAGATCTATTTTATGAGCTTATTAGTAGAAATCAACAGATGCCAGTAAGTATTAAGCACCCATGGACGATGTTAGTGTTTTTTGCTTTGTTTACTAAATAAAAGCAAAATAAACCTCCTAAATTAGATCACTTTTTAGAACCTCATAAAACATTATGATGGCAAAATAATAATAAAAACCCTGCTCTATGGAAATTGCCCTAATTTGCACAAAAGATTCCAATTCAATCTTTCCCAGAAAGCTCACATCACTGGGCTTGAAGGGAGCCCCGGAATATGTGGTGGGTCCCCATCCCTCTAGTTCCCCAACTTGCCTTACCGAAAGATGTCATGGCAATGTACATCAGCACATCGTCGTCTGCTTGTAAAGTGTAGATCGCTGCCAGCAGTGCCCAGTAGAAGCTGGTTGTATGTGAGGACTGCAGAAACCAAACAGAAGGAGCAGAAGTGATTTGTCTTCAATGATGAAAAGGGAAAAGTGGGAAAGAGGGAATCATCTCTATACTCTGATGCACTTCTGTCTGGGGGATTAAGATAGAAGGGGCAAATGGGACACTTTTCTAGATGCTTATTGCAAACCCCCACTACATTTGTGGAAAAGTTAGCTTAGAATCCTAGACCACATACCCCAAATCTCTCCACATCCATTTAATCTGGAGTGAGTCTCAGCATGCTGGTCATATTCAATAACTTTTTTCATTAATTTAGAGTCAAGGTTAACCTTCCTGGTTTTCTATTTGCAATGCTGAATGCAGATTCCGCAGTGCATAAAATTAAGTGCACCCATGACCACCAAGTCAGGATGTTAAAACAGAGACAGGTAGAAGGAAGGGCGAGACCTACAGTGGGTGACTGGCAATATTTTACGTACTGTATTTTCTTAGCACTATTTTTATAGACTGCCCAATAACAATAGAAACATTTAAGATATAAATAGTAAGGGCAAGAATACCTAATGAAGAGTAACAAAATTCCACCAACAGAATTAAAAACATCTCAAACTCAAGTAACACTAAGAATATTTTAAAACCGTTTTCAGGATTTAATTTTTGAAAGAGTTGATGGTGCTGGAAATACGACAAAGGAGCTTGTCTGTTTTGGCAGAGCAGTCTACAACTGAAGTGCTATCACTTCTGACCATCTTATCCTCCTCAAATTTGTCTTGTCCCCTTTTGAAACTGTCCAGGTGTGTGCCATCACCTACATCTTACGGTAGTTAATTCTCTCATTCACCCGTAACATGAGAGCCAGTGTGGTGTACTGGCTAGAGTGCTGGACTAGAACCCGGGAGGCCAGGGTTCAAATCCCCCCTCAGCCAGTCACTTCCTCTCAGTCTAATCTACCTCACAAGTTTGTTATGGGGGTTAAATGGCAAGAAGGAGAAGTGTGGATGCCACCCTGAGCTCCTGGGCTTCTCTTATTCAGTCTTCACTGGATGATCCCACTGGGTTCTTGTATTGCAGGAAGAGAAACTCCTCTGTCCACTTTCTCTACATCATGTACAATTTGACACACCTCTATCATGTCCCTCTTCAGTGCTTTTAAACCTAAACTAAAAAAACTCAAGCATAGTGACCTTTCCTCCTAGGGGAGTTGCTGCACGCCCCTGATCATTTAAGTTGCCCTACTCCACCTCTACAACAACCTTTTTGATAAACAGTGACTTTTGAGATTTGAAAACACAAATTAATGCCAATTATTTATGAAGGACAGTGTGTCAATGTCCATCCAGATGGGTTTGGTACTTATGCACCAGAACTCATCCATTTTCTACAGTCGCAAGCACCACCAGGGAGTTTTTCTTGTGTAAGCCTCTTTGAAATGACTGCCTGCAAAATAGAGGAAATGTGTGAGAGAGACAGGGAGAGAGAGAGAGCTTTTTACCAATAGCACTACGGTAAAATGGAAGCTCATGAGGTCCCCCCTTTGGGAGACGAAGAAGTGATACAGGTCACCAATGAGAACACCTGTGTGAATGATGAGCATAAGGATAGAGCCAATGGTGTAGATGACTTTGCTTGGGAAGGTGATAGTTATGAATGGATCCTTCCAGCTCATCCTCTTTCTGCCCCTCTGCAGTTGGCTGCTTCATTGATTTAGAACCCCGAGGAAGGCAAAGCACATTCAGACAGCCCAGCCTCTGACAGATGCAGATCCTGGCCTGCTGAAGTCATAGAGGCCCAGAGGTTCCAGAACTCTTGGCCTGGGAAAAGGCAGCCACGGGCAAGAGAGTGTTGGGGTGCAGCAAGGTCCCTTTGGAAAGCCAAGTTGAGGAAGAATAAGGAAGAGGGGGTGGGCAACCTTGCAAAGTCCCAGGAAGCTGGAATCCTTGACCCCAGCAAACTCTCAGCATGCCAGGCTGCTTTCCTCAAGCCTCACTTTCCAGACGATGGGCAGAACCTTCCTCCAGATCATACAATGCGGGTTGGGTCTCTGGCACTAGGGCAGGCTGACCCCTAACCCTTTTGTGACCAGGCAGCACCTCCTCTTCCCCTCCCTCCATGCACAGAAGCCGAGATCTGACTTCAATGTACAGTGGTACCTCGGGTTAAGTACTTAATTCGTTCCGGAAGTCTGTTCTCAACCTGAAACTGTTCTTAACCTGAAGCACCACTTTAGCTAATGGGGGCCTCCTGCTGCCGCCGCGCCACCGGAGCACGATTTCTGTTCTCATCCTGAAGCAAAGTTCTTAACCTGAGGTACTATTTCTGGGTTAGCAGAGTCTGTAACCTGAAGCGTATGTAACCCGAGGTACCACTGTACCTGCCTCAGTGCCCCTGGGGGAGGTTAGTTCCCTTGGGGGAGAGTGAAGAGTATGCTCCTTAAGGGGGGGGACGCCGAGACCCTGCGAGCCCCCCTTCCGAGTCCTGTTCAGTGGAGGGGGGGCCTCCCGAGGGGCGAGAGAAGCGTTTTCAAGGAGTTGTCCCTGTGCTGCTAGGCTGGGCGCTCCCCGTGTGCCTCAGGGGGTGTGGGGTTTTTTTTTGGGGGGGGGAGGCTCCCTCCTCTTTTCCAGGGGCCGTCCTGGGAAGCAGCCGAGTGCTGACAACGTCGCCAGGCAGCGGTAGGGTTGCTTTTTCCCTTAAGTAGCTGCAGCAGCTGGAGGAAGAGCCGGAAGCGGAAGCGCTTCAACAAAACTTTATTGAGCGCCCGGTCTCCATAGAGACGGGAAGGCCTTCCCTGCGCCCTGTCGCAACAAAACTTTATTGTTCCCGGAAGTGGAAGTTGCTGCCGCTGACCGTTGCCGCCCTCCCCTCTCCGGTCTCCCCATCCTCCCCCCAACCCCCACCCCACGGCCAAACAGGCACTCATACGCAGCGGGTCATGTCGGCGCCTCAGGCGGAGCGGGGCCCCGAGGGCGCGGGCGGCAAGCGGAGGCCGCACGGGATGCTGAAGCTCTACTACGGGCTGCCGGACCCGTCTGGGGAGGCCTTGGCGGGATCGGCCAGGGGGGATCTCGGGGGCCCCACCGACATCAACGGCCCCCACTTCGACCCGGAAGTCTTCCTCACCAAGGTGAGGGGGGGCACGGACGGGCAGATACACCCTCTGCGCCTAGCAACACCCTGCCCACTGGCGAGGTCTCCATGGCAACCCTCCCTGGGCTGGCTCCACCGTCCCGTGTCGAGCTGGCCCGTCCCCAAAACTCACTTCTTCCGGGAAATGCTGCTTTGCTTTCCCAAAATGCTGAACAGCTTGAGCTGAGTGTCTCTGGGCATGAGCAGAGTGCCTTTTGCCTCGAAGGGTTAGCATGTTCACAGATCCAGATTTCACTCAAAAGATCTCAGGGTTCCTCATGGTGAAGGGAGTCGTCTATTATTACTGAAGCATTGGATATGAGAACAGAGTGCCTCTGGTAATCTGCAGAGTGCCATCTCCAAAGGATGCCAGACCTGGTATTGTGTTGTGGTAAAGAGACTAAGCTATGAATCAGCAAGTCCATAAGAGGATAAGGAGAGCATAAGGCCACTGGCCCATCTAGTCCTATTCTCACAGTGGCCAACCAAAGGGAAGCCCCCAAGCAGGATCTGGGCTCCCCTGTTTTGGCTCTCATTTCCACCCTGAATTCACTATGAGCCCGGTTTTTGAACCGGGAAGGGCGGGGTATAAATAAAAATGTATTATTTTTATTATTATGTGTTCCTTTGTGTTGGCAAGCCACTCCCTCAGCCTCTGTCTCCCCAACTGCAATATTGGGGAGTAAAAAAATAATAATCTCCTTTAAAAAAAACGAATAACCCAAACAAGCATGCATAACGGCGGTGTGTTGCATTTCACTTGCAGCAGCTGTCACCTATTGACCTGCCTTATCCAGAAGTCAGACTCTTGCTCTGTTTAGCCCAGATCTTAGCCCTGCAGCTGGTGATCCTTTTGAACCTAAGGCCTTCTGTACACAAAGCAAGGGCTCAATGATTAAACTGGGTGGGGGTGGGGGTGAAGGAGTGTTCACAAGGATAGCCAGAGGTGCATTGGCCAAGTTCAGTTCAGCACCCACCTCTGTTTTGTGTTACAGCTGCGAAAAGAATGCCCCCTGGCCCAGCTGATGGACTGTGAGACGGACATGGTGAAGCAGATCCGATCCTTGGACAGTGACATGCAGACTCTAGTCTATGAAAATTACAACAAATTCATCTCGGCCACAGGTAACTGGGAGGCTTGTGGGGGGGGTCATGGGAAAGTTATATTTGTGATTCACCTCCCTCTTCCAGTTTATTATTATTTAGATCAGGTGTGGGAAACCTGCAACCCACAGAACTTCCCCACTCAGCCCTCAGCTTCCTCCCCATCCTCTGCGCAGCCAATCAGCTTAAACAGACAGCTTCTGTTAGTGCCAATGGAAGAACATGCTTTTGAAGCAGACTCTTCCTAACATTCTCATGTTCCATTCTTCAGACACAATCCGTAAGATGAAGAATGACTTCAAGAAGATGGAGGATGAGATGGACTGCTTGGCAGCAAACATGGCCGTCATCACGGAGTTCAGTGCGAGCATCAGCAGCACCTTGCAGGATCAACATGAGCAGATCACCAAACTATCCGGTGCGATGCCTCTTCTCTGATTGCTGCTAATGTGCGACAAGGGTGTCAGGAGCCCGTTGGAGCTGATGCAAAGATGGCTGGGGAGGGGGCACCAGTTCAGTGGCAGAACATCCACTTTGCATGTCGGAGGCTACCTGTTTAATCCCCAGCATCTCCAGGAGGAGCTTGTTGAGTGCTGGAAGGTGGGGTGGCACCAGCTGGGGTTTGGGGCTGCAAAGCAGCTTGCCTGCCCTGCTCTGACTTCCTCCCTCTCTCTTGACCCCAGGTGTTCATGCGCTCCTACGCAAGCTGCAGTTCCTGTTTGAGCTGCCGGCCCGCCTGACCAAATGTGTGGAGATGGAGGCCTACGGGCAGGCCGTGCGATACTACAGCAAGGCCCGCTCCATCCTCCACCAGTACCAACACATGCCCTCCTTCCGGGGCATCCAGGATGACTGCCAGAAGATCCGATGGCCCTGACCTCGCCTCAGAAGCTGCGCTGAGAATTCAGGTAGCAACAGAAGACATCAGGGGAGCTGGTTGCACTTGACTGTTTGTTTAACGAATGGGGCTGTGTTGGGGAAGGTCTTGGGACTGAAGACGAGGAGGCTGTGAGCCAGAAGACCTCGGCAAAGAAGGGTGGCTGCCTCTGTGATTCTGTTGTACAAATTTAAGATTCGCCTAATTGTCATGGTTTCCATTCGAGGAATCCTGAAGTTGGATTCCCCAGAGGTCCTACAGTTCCCTGGGGGGAGAGAATGGCTGCAGGGGAGCCAATGTAGTGCCAGAGTGGAGTTGCCCTACGAGGAGCTGGGGTCGAGATGGCTGCGTGAGGGTTTCAGCACCGGCAAGCAAGTGATTTGTGCCTAACCGTGATTTGCCCTACCCGGTGATTGCCTAACATGTGCGCCCGGTGCGCCGGCCCCTGCACCCCCCACGCTACGCCACTGGCTGGGGTTCAGGTACACCACCACCCTGCTCAATGCAGCCCTGAAGCATGCTGGGCATACTGGCCCCCCTCACTATCTCTCAGCCTAACCTACCTTGTAGGATCGTTCTGCATTTATGAAATTTCTGGGGGGAATTCTGTGTCGCCCAGGACTCTTGGGAGGAAGGGTGGAATGAAAATGTCACTTAAGAGGAGGAGCCAGTTTAAAATCTGCAGCTTAGCCCTCAGAGCCTTCCTTCCTGCCTCCTCAGGGATGGGGGCTCTTGCGCCAAGGACTTAGCGGAGTGTGTGGAGCTGCTGCTGCAGCTGGGCGAGCCCGCCGAGGAGCTGTGCGACGAGTTCCTCTCTCATGCCTGCTGCCGCCTGGAAGCTGAGCTGCGAGCCCTGGAGGCGGAGCTGGGTGAGGGGCAGCTGGCCACCCCGGCCACCGACATTCTGGAGTTCACCGACCGTGGCTGCAACAACTTTGTCAGCAACATGTGCCTGGTGATTGCCTCATACCAAGAGCTGTTTGTCAGCCGGGAGGGGGCCCGTGAGATTGCCAGCATGGCCCACGACAAGCTGGTGGCCTTTGTGGACGGCCTGATGGAGTGCTACTTCGCCCTGGTGGAGAGGCGCATCCAGCTGGAGCGGGGCGTGGGCGATAACTCCCTGCTGGTGCGGGCCCTGGACCGCTTCCACCGCCGCTTGCAGGCTTTGGTCAAGCTCTTGCCCGCCTCGCGGTCAGCGGCGGAGGGCACAGAAATCGTGGTGCGGGCAGCCAAGGAGCGCATCCGCCAGTACCTACAGGCCCTGCAGAGCTTTTACCTGGACTGTTTGACGGACGTGCGCCAGTCCTTGGCCGCCCCTCGGCTCATGGGGAAGGACAGCCCCAACCTGGCAGAGCTGCTGGCCACCATCTCAGCCTCCATCCTCAACCAGATCAAGTCTGTGCTCACCTACGTCCACCTCTTCACTGCCAAGGACATCACTTTCTCTAACAAGCCTTATTTCAAGGTAAGGAGAGAGAGAAAGAGATTTTGTTAGACTTCTCAAAGAGAAAGTTGCTTGCCCAGAGACTTGATACATCGCAAGAAATAAAAATGCGTGGGTGCGCATATGTAGAATTACATAAGGTAACCCATGGTGATACAAATTGTATGAGAGCCAAACCCTCTGTAGGCTTCACAACAAGATCCTTCCACTGCCACCAGAAACCCCATAAGAAACTCCTCCTTGGGTCCTGCTTTCGTAGGATGGACCTCTCTGATTGTGGGAGAAGCACCCCAGGATATCTCCCTTCCAGGGGTTAAGGCAGAGCTGGGTGTACCCAGCCT